GTCTTGATAGGCCTGTTGCAGTCCGTTTCCATTTCCATATAGGTCTTTTAGGGCCTTATGGACGGCCTCAACCACTTCTTCACGGTCACCAAACCTCTGCCCGCGTAGCTTATTCTACAGTTTGTCGAAAATTTCAAAGTCGCACAATGTCTAATAAAGTAAAAGCTCCCACAAGCTTCCCCATATGTAGTTCTACATTCCTCCACAGCTTTTTTTAATGTGTGTCCCTTTTTCACTGATATTTTTATACAAAGTCACTGTTCTTTTAGATTAGCATTTACCATGCTTGCTTCTTGATGCAACTCAGGAAGCAGAGTCTCCCTTTTGTGATGCATATGCGGATCAATTGTGACCTCTTTATTGTTTGAAAAGAACATCTATGACATCACAACCATTGTTCTGAATATTGGATCAATGTCCAGTAAACAATGTTTATAAAAATTACCCAAACTTAATGTTTTTGTTATGAGAAATGGGCATATAAAGATATTGTTGCATGTGCAATTGCAGTAAAATTATGGGCAGCTCCGGTGGCTCATTCCTCCTGTTGCTATGACAACCATAATTTTTTGCCATATTTGGCAATGGGTTTGAAAATGGAATCAAAAGATGCGGAACTCTACACTCTATGTCTGTACCAAATGTCAATGGAAATAAACAAATATAAACGAAAATAAAGCAAAAAGTAGCGAATATATTGCTCGGCCCTTGTAGTGTACAGACATGAGAATATTAATAGAGAAAGCACATATGGGATATTTGACCTGTCAAATTGTGCCTTTAAGGTATACCTGTCATTCTGTACCACAGATGAGATAATACACATATGGAAAAAGTTCAGAGATCAAGTGTTAATTATGAACTTTGCTAGAACAGGAACATTATTTATTCATTGATGAGTTATGACAAATAGAGAATACATGAATAGACTCATAGAATAATATATGTACATGTTGCTTGGAGTATTTTGAATGAATATCTTAGATATGGATTGTTAATTAGAATACTTGTTTGGAAATAGTTGCAAATGAAATATTGGCCATTTAACAAACAAAATATTTGGATAGCAGCTCAAGGAAATGATTATACGAACAACTTTGAAATGGACAATTTGATAATAGATTACACTACAGTTGGCCAAGTATAGTAGAAATAGATTTATGAGGAACTATTATTATGTTGAACAATGTTGGTTGTGGAAAAGTGTCATACTGGATACTGAAATTTCCATTACATAGAACTGAATGAGTGGAGTGTTGTAAAAATGCTAGAAATGAAGGTGGCACAGTAGGCTTTAAGTTCTAACAGTAGAAGTGTTCACAGCAGGGAGGCTTTAAATAATGAAAGTGCAGCAGAGAGGCTTTGAATTTGATCAACAGAGGTGTTCCCAACAGGAAAGCTTTAACAAAAAAGCTTGGATTAGTGTTAGGTATAATCCTGTATGATATTAAATGGGATTAGTTTCTTTGAAAATAATTACTTCTATCCCCTGGGCTTCAGGCCATTCAGGATATAGTAGAATGGAAATATGCCAGTTTTCACTAATTTTAACTATTTATTTTGGTTCCTCTAGAAAGTTATTTTAGGTCAGCAGAGTTTGCTGATTTAACAATAGTCAAAAAGAATATTACTATTACTGAAAGCATTAGATTTGCATACTTCCTTGCAGCTTGATATTATTTTGACTTGTTGATCACAAATATGATCTGACAAAAGTTGTGATCAACTTCAACTAAATAATATCAATTTGTGTTGTGAAGTTTCTCGTTTCAAATTGTTACATCATCCTGTAATTGTGCAGCATAAGAACTATTGCAGGTATGCAACCTATGAAATATGAGATATATGCAATATAATAACAGTAGAAATTGCAGTAAAACAAACACCGGATATATGCAACAGGAAAAGCACTGGAGACCTATGCAACTTTAAAAATAGTGGATACATATGCAACATAATTCTTGATTTATAACATATATATACAAAGGTACAAATATAAAATAACTAAAACAATTGATCATGAAATATGCAACATAAGAAATGTTTGAAGTAATGGATGTAAAATATTGAATACCAGATATAACGAATATGAAGTCCCCGTGTATTATATGTGCAGATGAACAATATTGGAATAGACACCATGGAAGGAAAAGTCGAAGTGTCTTTTGGACACCTCCTAAACCTAGAACACCTAAAAAGTAAGTGAGTGAGACACTTGAATATTTGAAGGTATTATTAATAGATCCATCCTTCATGATCGGGCTTCACTTCTATTGCAGCTATGGAAAGAATTGAAATGCCCTTGGACCAAGAATGTAATTAAGCAGAGGTTTATATTTGAGCATCATTAGGCTATCTTATTGCAGGGCTTGCATTAACGGCGTCCCGTACATGTTAAGGACTCAAAAATAATTTGGAGGACGCAAAAATTGAAAATATTTCCGTTGACGTTTTTTGGACACAAAAATCTTTTTAGATCAATACTACAATGTGTTTACAACGCGACGATACCTAACAAAAACAAATAATTATGATCTCTCACCTTTACTTGAATCGTAAATAAGGCTCAACATGTTGAATATTTACAAATAATCATGATTCTCTCGAATTTTTTCGACTTTGTTTATTTTTAGATTTGAAACCATGACACGCCACAGTTTTTCCTATTCAGAAACAAATATTAGGTTATTCATGAAATAAAATGTATTCATTGTCGAATGAACGAACATGCATTTATTCAGTCCGTACTTAACGTTTACTTCCGTTTTAAATTCGCGGCAAGAAATCAAAAACTGAAAGGTGTTTTGGTAAAAAATGCTTTTAAAATAAAGTTATACCTCAAAACAGGCTAGAAATAGGGGACACACTTTTTTTCAAAGGACACACTTTTTTAAAAAAATTGCGTCCTTGGGACTCACAAATTTTCTAACCTAATGCAAGCGCTGTTATTGGTTCACCACTGAACAAGTTTGATATATTGAAAGTCAGAATTTTTTGTTAAAATATTATAATTTATTAAATGTTGCCCTTTGCACTTTCTCATTTCACATTTTGACCTATATATTCTCATGAAATATATAGTCATTGGGAACCATATTACATTTATAAGTAAATGTAGATTATAAGCTAGTAAGTGGCTATCATGATACATGGATGGTAATCATATTGGAATGATTCATCAGGTTCTAGTGATGTACTTACTTATACTGAACTGTTCTGTATATCTGATAGGGATAAATTACTACAGTATATCTGCCATGTATTTATAATTGGTGAGAATTACCAGTATTACCCCCCCCCCCCTCAAAAAACTTGAGGCTGTGTCTCATCATTGGGGTAAGGAGGCACTTTACAACATATTATAATAATCATGAAATTTCTTACAATTATTTAGGCAAGAGTCTTTGTGACACTCTGGTCTGTTTTCGAGACGACATATAAAGTCTTCATTTTCCTTCTTATCATGAATCATTTGATAAATTAATCATTTGATAAATGGAGTGAATTTTATATAGCTGCACATCAATTTCTCATGGCTTGCTCTAGTGATTAAAATGTTAGATAATGGGGTGGGGGTAAATTCCTGTTTATTAAAGCCCCACTATGCTTACTTCAGAAGTAAAAAGGTAAAATAATCCATAGGCATAGACAGGGGAATAACCAATAAAAATAAAACCACGAGAAAGAAGGAAGTTGCATCAATTTTTGCTTGTTTATGCCACAATCGCAGCCCCCCTTGAATGAAAACCAGAATTTGTTTAGTGGTCGCCCTGACTGAAAACCGGAATTTGTTTGGTGGTCGCACTAAATATGACTGAAAGCTGGCTACGCCCCTGTAATCATTGAAACATGTTACTCACATACTCATCCAATATGATAAAAAGATTGATTTGCATTAATATTGAACCTAGAAAAAAAACGCATATAGAACAAAGCATTTGAAGTACAGAGATCATTAGTAGTGCATGCCCATGTTTGACAAAGTGCAAGTTTTAAATAATTCTTGATTTAAAAGATGGCGACACTTCTATAGAAATGAATGGATCCTGTGATACAAACATCTTTGCCATCTTTCATTGATATTGGTAAAAACTTGATATATAAAACTTTTTTTTTTTGATAATTTATTGTAAATTTTGATGTGGCTCGTTTGAGCTGTTTCTGGTGTCCAATAAAAGATGAGTACTTATACTATTGGATATATTATGATATCAAAAAGGTAAGTCTTTATTTTGCCAAAGAATGTTGAAAATATGCATAGTAGGCCTTTAAATGAATTTTCAACATTTTTAAGTAAAAATTGATTAATTGGATTTATAAATTTGAATTTGTCAAAAGTGAAAATATTAATTGTTTTCTTAACTAATATAGTCCACTCAAAAAATAATTGAAAAATTATAATCACCAAAAGCCTTATCAAACATTGTTTATCTACCTGCATTTAAGTTTTCACCCTCCCAAAATAGTTCATCAATTTCTTGTTTTTACAAAAAAAGAAAGGATTATGCTTTATGTTAATCATTTATATATACATTTCAACACTGAATGAAGCTATTATATTGAAGATATTGTATTGAAGGTTTTCATGTATTATACAATCTAGTGGTATAATAGATTAGTGGGACATGTGATTCTAACCTTCCTAAAATCTCTGTCAATGCGTATTTCATTCAATTTCTCTCAATTTTTCTGCATTTCTGTAGTGTTGACTACATGTTTGTTTATTTTATTCCTTGTTAATTCCACTCTTTTTCACTCTATTTCATATCTTAAAATATGACATTTTTCAAAGCCTAATGTCAACAAATCTCAACATCTGTCATGATAAATTTTTTTATAAAATAAAAAACTGAAGCTGCTCCTTTGAATGTTTGCTTTTGATAAAAGTGAATCAAGATTTATTGCCTATTCAAATTGAAAAACTATGTTGAGTGCCGGCTTTCACAAACAGTGAAACCCAATATGACCTTAACCCCATCTATAAGGTCATAATATAGTGTAGGTGTATAGGCTGAAGCAGCCATATTTACCACTTGGATGTTTTAAACATAATATTAGGATTTAACAAGGAGGATGAAGACAAGACACCATGATTATGGAGCCTGGGTGTGAGTAGATGCTTTGTTGATAATATCAGATGATGATTTGGTATATTTAGGACGGGGTCTAGCTGTTTAGGTTGAATTTCCATCATGTTATTGTGCTCTGTTCAGCACTGAGCAATATTGGTATTTGCTACTTATGCTATCAATATTTGTTTGATATTGCTCAAGGGGGGCTATTTCTGATTGCAAACTCTGTACATATTATTAGATTCTGGTTGTAGATATATTAGGACTGCATTTGTGGTACAATTAAACCTTGAAGTTCAATGTGAAATGTGGTAAACAACAAAAAACATGGTGGTGTAATATGGTTTCTCATTGGCTGGCTTCCCAATACCCGCCAAAAATTATACTGATTTGATTTGTTCGGTAATGTCTTAAAGCAATTGAATGTTATCCGCATCTTTATTCATGATTTTAAGACTTATTGAATATTGTGTCTATATCTTTTATGAGGTTGTATTTTCATCATATTATATCCCTACAGATCGCTTTATATATTGGGGTGAACTCTCATTCGTGTACAGTACAATTTGAAAGTCTCAAGGCCTATTTTACTAAAGGCCTGATAGAAATCATAATTCCCCCTGGCTGATCAGCAAATCACAGTGAATAATGAACTCTCTTGAAAGCCCATAGTAAAAACAAAAGTGGTTCACTGTCTTATGGCTCTTATGGTTTCACTGTGCATGTACTTTATATTCACACAGGATGGTTTATATATATATCTATTAGTTAGTGTTAATGAGTGGCAATTATCAGATATACAGATGCTGTATGCAAAGTGATAACACTTATCATCTATCCATCTATTCACTGAATAAACACCCCCCCCCCCCGAGATAAATAATTGAATAAATCTTATAAGTTGTAACTGTTTGTGAACTTTGACCTGAATATAGTTTATGGGCTTTTTTAACATTTGGTTCTTAATAATGCCTCTTTTTGTAATCTAAGTGAGGGGTGTTTTAAAACAGTAATACTTAAATTATGATACGTTCAAAGGTTATTAACTTTAGTTTGTAGAATAAGGGGAGGGTTGATATTTATCACATTATTCATCAAAAGTGAAGGATTGGTATGCAGGGTGTTACAAAAAATTGTACCCGAATAAGACGGGAATAAATCTTTTTTCCTTCATCAAAAAAGCAGAACTTGGTTATTGATGTGTGATAACATAGTTACAGGGAAGAAACTGTATCAAGGTCCTATGTTGATTCATATATTTTTTATTATTTATTTTAGTGGAGATATGATAAGATAGATTCAAAAGTAGGTCTAGTATCACAAATAGTTAGTTAAGAGAAGGGGGTGGCTGATAAGGCAGTTGGGAGAGGGCAGAAGGGTTAGAAGAGGTTAAAAATCAAAAAGCTATCTAATACTAAAATCAATTGTCAATCATCCATCAATCTAGATTTTCAAGGGTCCCTAAACATTGCCATTTTCCTGGACTGAATAATGAGTATTGTATGTATACGTATATATTATGTTAATCTTACCATTTACTAAGAAACATTAAAACACTATCTGACATTTTTATTAAATGCTGTAAAGCATGAAAGAACCAAAGATAAAAAACTGAAACATACTTTTCCCAAGAACCGATTTGCTCAGAGGAAAATGGTTAAAAGTATTTAAATAACTTGAATAATAGATGTACATCAGTCTTATTGAGTCTCACTCAGATTAAAATTCCTGTACTGATTTATCCAATTTGGGATTAAAATAGAATTTTGGATTTGATTGATTGCATTAATATGTTATCCAAACTTATGTATTGTATGTACTTAAATAGAGTTCATATTTATAATATCAGTAAGTTTGGTCAGGTTGATAGCTAATATATCAAACAGTGGGTGATCAACTGCCAATGTTATTAACATTTAAATCAGTTTGGCATTGAAAATGAATACTGGCCTAATTTTCAGCCATTTTCAATAGTTTCATTTTGATTCTTTTAAAGAGAAAGCTTCGTTTAATGGAAATACTTTAACTATTACTAGCCTCTTTGCTTTTGGACGATTCAGAACCATTGTCACCTGTATAGCAGATAATCAAAGAAATGGACTTATGACAGCAGTCTGGTGGATAACAACAGAGAACATGCTGAACTGTCAATTTGAATTATAGTTGCTCTGTATGAGCTACCCTTTGGATTTGTTTGACTTTACAAACCCTCCAAAAGAGAGCTTCAGCGTATTCACTAGATGACTTTAAGTATTTGGGCTCAGTGTATATCAGAGTCATTTTAGTATCAGAATATAGCAAACCAGAGTTATAGTACCCTTAAGTTCAGAGAAGCTTTCTTTTAAAAAGTAAAATCAAGTTTTGAAAAGGGTTCTAAACCCTGAATAAATCATACATTGCGATTGAAGATATATCACAAAGACTTTGACTCTCAAAAGCTGGTCTATTTAGTGTATTAGACGATTTAGTTCAAATACATGGAATTATAGCAGAATTTGGGAGGATAAACACAGTCTTTCCTGTCTTTTCATAAATCTTTAAATATTTAAAGTACTACTTCACCTATAGAGAGTTGATCACAAATCAATACCTTTAGACTTTAGTCTGGATTGAGATGTTTTACATTTATACAAGCACGCCATGACATGAAGAAACAGTTTAAGATTTCGAATTACAAAAAGAGATTTGCTATCTCGGTGAATTAAACATTCGGATAACTGTTATGTTTTTAAACTAAGGTTTACAATAAGTCTAAACCACAAATTGTGTAATATTTTCACAGTGTAGAGTTACTGGAGAGTTATTGATGAAGTAAATGCAATTTGGATAAATTATTTAAGAATTTTTAAGTGGGTCATACATGCAACTGTATGAGCTAGAGTTAAATATCTATCTTAGAAAAAAACAATTTTCAATCTGAGATACACATCTGCAAAACAGGAAAATCCCATACACTGGGAACAGAGTTCTACCATTTTAATCATAAATCAGAGATTTCATTTAATTAGGATTTGAAAAAACAGGAAATTATAGTGAGAACAAACAAAGTGATTAAATTATTGGAAGTCATAATTTTTACTAAACTACTAAAAATGATAGGATATTTTGGTAGATGCAATTAAATCATACAATGCCTGCAGCATGCTAATGCTAATGAAACCTAATTAACATACTTATTGATAACATTACAAGGAAGTAGTCAACACCCTAAAGTTGATACATAACAATAGAAGGCTGACATTTGTGAACATCTGTTCAGATTGATTCAGAATATGACTACCAGGGAGAGGTTCACTCAGTGAGTATTAAATGTCTGAAGTCTATTAATGGATCGACCATCTTGATCTATCAATTTGTATTTTATGAGATAAAGCTGGTGTCCTCTGCACCTGCTCTTTTCTTATAAGTTAAGGGAGGATCTGATCGATCATTTTGTAAGAAGGGTTATGTGTTTGACTGCTATTATATACTAAAGGGGAGTCTGACTTGTCTACATCCTTTTGGAAAAGGAATAATTCTTGTGGACCTTCTTAGTCAGAATCAAAGAGTATCTTACCATTATTTCACTGTCATCTACCCTTTCATAGCTGATATTCATGTCTTATTTAAACAGCCACAATCTATGTATATAATTTTGTTTAGATTAACATGCAAATAAAAAACATTAACCTATAAGAAAAAATGTAAACTCCAAAGCTCTAAAGGTCAAAAAGGATCAAACTGGATTTATAATTATCTATCCTCCTCAGAGACTAGAATACTGCTAACAGCCTCTGGATTTCTGGGTAGTTTCATTTAGAAATGCAACTGAGTATAAGGGAACTTAGGTCTAAACTGAAGTATTGAATATCCCAAATCTACACTTTTGATAGTAGGCGATAAAATTCTGCACTGCTGATAAAGGTGAAGAATGTTACATTGACTCTAAAAATGTTAAACATTGAGATGGAAAATATGATTGGGACTTGTGTTTGTTGTGAATATTGTCATTCTTTTGAGGACTACACTCATATCATCCTTTCGACCCAAGCCTCTTATTTGCAAGCTTGCAGTAAACTTTGCCATCAGTAAAATTACTGAAAAATTCAAAAAATATTATTACCAAGACAACCCAGGTTTATGCTTCCGTGATCCCATTCATCATTAATAACGCAAATGCGAGTAGGTAGTTACCAGTTTCACCACCAGGTGGCTCGCTCGGGTCAGATAGCATGGCGGGTATAGTAGAAAGTCTCCTTTAACTTAAATTACATAGGTTTTAGTGGTTCAATTTTCATATAGCCCTTATGTATCGAATAGTTATGCAAATTAAAGTATGTCCAGTAAAAGAAAATGTTATATGTCCAATACAAGAAAAGATATTTCACTTTTTGTGATTTTTTAATATGGGGTCTACAGTGGAGACGATGGGCTCAATTGCCGTATCATATTGCAATTGAACGACGATACGGCAATTGCCGTATCGTCTTATTTTAATTCCAAACGCGCATGTCTAGCAACTCAGCGCTATTAAAGCATAATACGGCAATTGCCGTATCGTGCGTCAATTTTATTAAGAGTATTTATTTTTTATTATCGCCCAAATACAACAGCTCTGGAAGGTCTATTAACACGACTCAAGCAAATATTATAATTCGAAATTCAATTTTACGCTGGTTTAAATTAAAAAGTCATTTTGATACTTTCTAGGCTCCAGCGTAGTGCAATACTTAAATATAATCAATACTGCGCTTAAGACTGAAACACCGATCTTTGAAATACATTTTTATTTCTATTGAAAGTATGATGTTTGATATCTCAAACGCACTGAGACAACTGATTTTACTTTGGATAAACAATATTCAAAATTAGGTTTAGCATTTAAATCACTGATTTTTATTTACGAAAATAGACTGAACCTACAAGTAGTCGATATATCAATTATTAGTCAGTTAGTATGGCCAGTATATTTAATCAAAACATTGTCGATTATATTATGCGATACTGTTTATTTGCGATATGAAATCTGTGAAAGATTCAGTTAAAAAAGATTTTTCCTTGGGAAATGGGAAGGAAAGGGAAATGGTAGAATATTTGTCATTATCCACGAAAAAACAAAACTTAGTAGTAGATCTATTGCCCGTGGTAGATCGCTATAAAAACGTTCTTGTCAGTCTAATGTGCATGAAGGCATATAGTTTGACAAGTATTACGGAACCAAATACATGAAATAAAGTCTTCTTTGCGCATTTGCAATTGCAATAAAGGTTTCAAGAATTTCTTTATAATTATGAGTTTATTACTGTATGTATTTGAATGAAGTTTGTATGATGTACATGTCATTCCTCCTCCTATGTTGACTATACATATCTAATTGCGGGTGGCGCGACACGGGAGATACAACTCTCGGATAAAGTTTAAAATTCCTTTTATCTGTTTATGTTAGTCTCAGGTTGAAGTAAGTAGGTTTTCAGACGCAAAATGTAATATTTCCGCTGTAATATAATTACGAATTGAGGCTTAATACTAGTAAATGGAAATGATCAAATATGTATCAACATTTTTCAATCTGCGTGAAACTACACGTAACGATTCATACCTGTATGAAGTATGCTGAAACGGCCGAGATCTGCTTATATATTGATACATGCGCGGCCTTGACAGAGCAAACCTACTAACCCACATACGTGTGCTACTAACCTAGATACGTCTAGCTAATTTGCATAATGTTGTTGCAGTCTGAATCCACTTTCTGGCTCTAAACTGGCTGTTTAAAAAATGGCATTTATTAGTCTATAACTCTGCTATTAGTTGACAGATTTCGAAATAAATAAGACCATGGTTATGCTCGGAACTAAAGCTTTCTGATGGTTCCACTTTGTAGTGACCAAATTGCGAGAAAACTGAGGAAATAGAAGGTAAAGGCGATTTCTCGAATTCCAAGTTTCACATAAGAAATTCTGCGTTCTGATTGGCTGGCTTTCTAGCAGTCCCAATCCACTTTAGCTCTCCAAACTCGCCGTTTTAGAAATGACACGTTTCGGTCTTTTTCTCCGCCATTTCTCGGTCGATTTCTAAAAGCATAATGTCATAGTGAAGCTGACAAAACCAGCTTACCGATTGTATCACTTTTGAAGCGATCCATGTGCAATAGATAGGTGGAATTCGAGCGTGAAAAAGTTTCTCCATAATCGAAGATTCACTTGAGAAATACTGAGGAATCGGGCATTTCTGATTGGTCAGTTTTCCTGCATTCTCAAGTCACTTTCCCGACTCTAAACTGAGTTTCTAGAAATGGCACTTGCTACATACGTCTCTTGGTTTTGTTTCTGGGCGAATTGGTTGCTGGACGAAATTATCCAGGCAGCATTGTCCGTCTGAGAACAATGGTAATGCGAACGGTACTTAGTACTTTGAACGCGATCTAGTAATGACTTAAAGCCGAGACTTTTATACCTAAAACGTCAGTGTAAAGGATGAATCAAACCCAAAATGCATGCAGGAAGACTATGTTATTTATAAAAACGATAAAATTAAAATGAAAACCTGTCTGGTTTCATGTTATTCTCGCCTCTGGAATGTCTGAAGAGCACCTTAACCCCCAAAGTACGTTTTTGTCTTTTGCCTAAAATAAGTGAAACTTTGAGAACCCACGGGAGTAATTGCACACGGCAGAATTTAAATGCACGCGAGGAAAAGTTTATTTTATATATGTTCTTCTAATATCAATAAAAAAATTCATGCCATCTCTTTATTTAATATTGCCGAAATTAAGTACAAGGAGGGTCTGTTGCAATTTCACAATTTCAGGGATTTCAGGTTGTAATCGGCCCTTGTGCACTGGAGTAGAAATAAACGATATCTAGGACAAAATATTTTATGTCATTAAATTTAAACCCCCTATTTATGGAAAATACTTTAAAATTGTACTTACTATGGATGTTATATGATTTAATATCAATTTGAAGTCCGGAATTGTTTAGATTTTTAAAAGATAACCGTTATTACAAATAATGACGTTCTATACGGCAATTGCCGTATCGCCGTTCAAATGCAGTATGATACGGCAATCGAGCCCATCGTCTCCACTGGTCTATGGGGAATCAACCCGAACCAGAAGTCACTTTTTCAAAAAAAATTAAATTTTCAAAGTTGATAAACACTTTTCGAAACAATATTTTAAGATGTATTTTTACATGTAGATTTCAAATATGACATCACTTTGACTGAATTTTGAATATTTAATGACGTAAATCAAGATCGTTTCTACTCGCATCTAGTCTATTCCCAATATGCATGTCATTAAATGTTAAAGATTTTTGAATTAATATTATTGTTTAAAATATTCTTTCAGAGTGGACAAGGAAGGACGCCGTAAGGTCAGACAGAGTACTGGGTCAATTCCATCCAGGATTAACCAATCAGAAAGCTCCGCAGAATCTGGCTATGGAGAGTTCAGCTCCGATAGTCAAGAGGATGAATTTCTTGCACCCCTACCCGTAGCGACACCCTCAAATTCTAGGCAGGCACGGAGAAGATTACAACTCCAGGGAGCTGCAACTGCACCTGCTAAGCAACAGCGTCGCAGACGCACCATAGCAACCACATCAAATACAACAAGCAGTCAAAATACATCGATTACATCACAATCAGATAACACAATTAGAGAATCACAACAAAGGTTTAACCAATTAACTCAAGGGGAAGAAATTCAAGTTGAAAATGTTCAAACCCAGGAAACTTTAACCCAGACTCCAACTAAGGATGGGAACATATTGGGCCGGGTGCTGGAAAGTGTAGGGATCAGATCTGCCACTAGAAAGCTATATACACCCAGTGCTAATATACAAGAGCTACTGGCTGATAGTGATTTTGACAGGTTTGTTGTTTGTTTGTTTGTTTGTTTGTTTGCGAGGTAATTTGGATGTCAACTGGCTTGCTTCAATGTCCTTGTTACCCCTTTCACTCCACAACCTGGATGTAGATGTATTGTTCGATGTAAAACCAGCAAATGGTAGTTTATTTATTTAATTTTAGTGTGAAGTTTGCAGAGGATGTTTAGTGTATAAACAGTATCATATGGATTTTAAAAGGGGCTTTAATTTAAGCCGTGTAATATTAACCAATATTAATATTTAAAAATTATTTCGATATCTGAGAATTAGTATACAAATAGAATAAAACCGACATCCAAATACCTCTCTTATCTGATTTTCTCTCAGTGCACCTCTGAACGCTTATTTTTGGTCCCATTTCTATAATCTGCCATTGGCTTCCATGTTAAAAATCTTCAAACTGTCAACACTTGTCAATCAGAACTGTATTTGGTTTGACTTTCTCATAGTTCAACTTAGATATAACTCAATGCATACCTGGCATTTAGACAAATGTTTTAAAATTAAAGTATGTACGAGGCCCGATCAGAAAGTAAGTAACCAACTGCTCTTATTTCTTCATACTTTATTCAATCACATTGAAATTTTCACAGATGATGTAGAAAATATTAACCTATTAGAGAAGACCAAGGACAATGGGTTAGCGTCAATTCCATTGTTATTGCTGTTGCTATGGTGACAATTGTTTTGGGTAGGCGGGGCACCCTGTATTAAGTGGCGTTTGAAGATAATTTGTAGAGTTTTTGTACATGTTGTAATACCTCCAAATATATCAAATTCAATTGTAAGACTACATTTTACACATAGTTCTTCAAATTAATTGACACCAAAGTCAATGCAGTTGAGGCAATGTTTTACTCCGTCCTTAAAGAAGTGCAACATGGCACCATTCAATGACAGCAAACTGCCATTTGAAAGCTTTAATGGTGGCCTTATTGCTGTCCAAACGGACTCTCTGTAACAACATCTTTGCATTTGGAAAGAATTTAGTCACGTGGGACCAGGTCTGGGGAATAGTGAGCCTGGGGTAGTTGTGTGGCCATGGAAAAGGCTTAATCTACTGTATCTTCGGTAATGTTGGCTCTGTGGAGGTGGACCATTGTCATCATGTCAGTAAAATCCCGCTTCAACAACATTTGACTGGATTAAAACTGTGACTGAATGATGACCATCATTATGACAGATATACCCTTGATATCTTTGTGTCAATGCCTTATAAATGAGACAATGTGATAATACATAAAACACATTAGTCAGTCTTGCATAAAAAATGTTAGGTCGTTTGGAGGAATACAGCACATAAAAAGAACTCTACAAACCATCTTCCAAAGCCGCTTTCAAAAGGGTGCCCCGCCTACCCAAAACAATCATCACCATAGCAACAGCCATAACAATGGCATTCACGCTAACCCATTGTCCTTGGTCTTCTCTAATAAGTTAATATTTTCTACATCATCTGTAAAAATTTCAATGTGATTGAATGAAGTATGAAAAAATGAGAGCAGTTGGTTACTTACTTTCTGATCGGGCCTCGTATGTGACATATATATTTTAAAATTGAGTTTCTAATTCATTGATTTACTAAATCTGATGTAGACAGCAAGGAAACAGTGATACTTGAAGACACTGACCATTTTAAAGAAGACTTCAGAATCAGAAATCTGCCTTAATAACCTGAACATTTGTCATGAAGTCATAAGTTACTGCAAGTGGCTGCCATAATATGCAAAACATGAATTTTATATTAATTTTATGAATTATTTCATTTCAGCCGTCCCAAGACAGACTACACTTATTCTTCAAGGTAAGCTTTGTTACTTAATCTCAGTTCAAATTCAAAGTACATGTATATTTCAAGATAAAGATAAGTATTAAGCCTGATGTAATTAACAAAAACATGCTAGCTAACCAGCTAGTATATTTGCTATGATCATGGGCTTTTTAACGCCCATAACGTACTGAAAAACTCAGTCAACCTAATAGTGATAAAACTTGCATACTGATTTTACAAAAATAGCTGTGTATTGATACAGTGAAGTGCTAAATTAAGATGTTATGTGACATATCATTGGCATATTTAGAAGAGTACAAGAGTGCAAACATCTTTGTTGCTTGAATCTTAAATTAACTCAGATCTTGAGATCTTAATTGGATCAATGTCAAGAGAAACTACTTGAACCTTAAACTAACTATTTTCAACTGATTAATTCTACTGACTTGTAATAAGTTTGGGTATTCAGATCACAATTTAATAATCTGCCATTTATTTCCATGTTAAAAAACCTATGAACGTAAATGTTTTTTAACCTTTGATAATTGGAGTTTTCACATCCACAATATTTTCATATAATGTGCATGAATTCCCGACAGTCCAATAGAGGGAAAACTCAATATTTTCTAATAAATGTACTTGTATTTATAGCGTAAGTTACAGACGTCTTACTCCACCAAGTAGTGACTATCTCAGTCCGAACATGTCACGGCGAGGACTACGTTCCAGCAGAGGGGAAACCATCTCATCTTCTTCTATCATATCAATTTCCAGAACAGATTCAGACATCGCTGCTAGCTTATCGAGAGATGTCACTTCTAGTAAGTAAATGACCTTGAAAAGTATGGAACAAGGTCAATATTTTGTTGTTGTTCCAAAATATAATAATTATTGCATAACACTCCTTGACATAAACTCCCCTCCCTCTTAAACATTGATTTGATTCGATCAAACTAAAAGTTTCGATGTCAGCTGACAAAACATCAGACTTCTTTTTTTACACCCTTCCTTCCAAAGATAATAAATTGTGCTTGTTTATTTATATCGATATAGTCTTTTTCCAATAGGGAACAGTTTTTTGCGGTATAAGGTTGATTTGTGTTTTATTGTTAGGTTATCATTCTATAGATTATCAAAGGTACAGATATTTTGGAATCTGTTTCAGAGGGTTTGTTATAGTCCTACCCTTTGTACCAATATATTGTTTTTTTCTTTAAAAGAAAACTTCATCAAAATTACATGTATTTGAAAAACGGAAATGTAAATTTTTATGTTAATAGAATACCAAACTTGAAATGACATGATAAAAAAACATGTAAACTTGAATGTCACTAACATCAAACAGATAATAATCCCATCAAAGCAGAAGTGGTGTATGTACAATTCCCTTTGAGCTTTGAGTTAATAACTAAAACACACATGTTCAAGTTTACCCTGTGCAAAAGCACAACTTCAACTAATCTTTTAAAACAAGAGATAATTCTTTGATTTGAGCCTACAAGTCAATCAGAATGTGTAGTTGGTGTATTTTCTGGCAAAAGCAGCTTCATTTTATATTTAGACTATAAAAGTACGGAAAGGTTAATTTTTGGATCATTTTAATTTGATATCAGAGTCATAATTCTAAAATCCTCTGCAATACTTAGAGGTTATTGTGGTAAGCTGGTGAGAATCAGGGTAGCTCAGATATATACTAGGGGTGGGACGGATAACCGAAATACCGAAAAACCGCGGTTCATAGCCTTCGGATCGGTTTTCGGATCACGGCCCTACTTTCGGATCAGCATTTCGGATCGTTTTCGGATTAATATTTCATTGGTCAAGTATCAATAAAACAGTTAAAAACACTGTTTTACAGCAACATTTTTTATATTCCTAGTCCCTACCTTGTCTGTCTTGTCTGTTGCTAGCTCACTCGTTTACTAGATTCGTTTCGTATCCGCGTATTCATATCCCTCGGTAATCAATCATGTGGTCCCTGGTACTATATTCTTTAGTCGTGTATTCTAAATAATATGTATTGTTCATGAAATACTATAGCATAAAATTCCATCTATAAAATATTGTTATAACGTGGCATAATTGATACAAAGATTTATAAATTTGCGCAGGTTCGATATAGGGTATTATTTTGTGCGCACCCACAATTCATTCAAATATGGCGTCTGGATCTCAAATTCCCGTTTTCCCAAAAGAAATGAAGATTATTGCAGCCCCAACAAAGCTAAAATCAGCCGTTTGGACGTACATTGGGTTCGCAGAAGTCGATGGGAAGTTGCTCACTGATAAAACAATATGTAAACTGTGCAAAATATTAGTCTCATACAGTAAAGGTAAACGAAAGCTTTTTTCAATTTCATTTTCAGCGCGACAGCAGAATTCATTTTCGCTTCAATTGTACTTCTTCAAAAAATGTTTTACCGACACGTTTAACATTGTCTTTGTTGCATGTGATATGTAAAAAACGCATCACAGAATAAAGGTTTCTACAAGCATAAATTAGTTATTTTATTGGTTGTATTAAAAGAAAGTGACAGTCAGCAGTGAAGTCAGAGACAAAGCAGCTAAATCATGTCAATCAATACAAATCCTTAAAATGAATGAACCGAACCGAAAAAAACGAACCGACGGCTGATGATCCGAAAAACCGAACCGAACCGAACCGAACCGAAACGAACCGTCCCATCCCTAATATATACAGAACATGAAAAGATGAAAGTTCAGGAATGTTCATATTTGCATATACCTAGAGGCGAGTGCACTAATTATACTACACAGGTGTAAATGAATTGGTAACTCATAAAGTTTCATCAGTCATATTGATGTAGTAAGTATAGTATTGAAGATTGTGCATAAGTTTGAATGTGCATTAATCTGGGCTATGCCCCCCCCTCACAGATTTTGAGGGATACAATACATAAGTCCATTCAGAATAATTTAAGGCGTTCACTTTAGAGAGATGTTCACATATCAGATATTCAGATATCTCAGGTATTGTTAGAAATGCATCACCATGGTGATTCCTTCTGACATATTACATTAAATCTTTTCCAACCACAGTGATTGTTTTAGAGGCTCACAAGCAAATGTTTAAAAATTCAACTAAAATGAAACATAATATGATAATAATAGTGACACATTCTCAGCCCTCCAAAATAATCATTGACTGAGGAAATATAAAACTGCATACATGTATATAAAGAGTTTCACTTGATCTGAAAGTCTGGGGAGCTACGTTTTTGGTTGGTTAGCTTTATTTCGTAAAACTTACCAAACTGGGAATTTACACACAAGCAAATGCTCTTTGTAATTTGTAAACTAACTTATTTGTAATGTTTCCTTCTGTCTCAGGTACAACCAGATCAAGCTCACGACACACTAGGTCTCGCTCCCGTGGCCGCACCACTGAAAGTGATAGTCTCTCACGTACAGAGAAAAACAACACACCAACTACACGTCGTACATCCTCACGTAATCTATCATACATTGACAGTGTAGATTATGATCAAAGATCTGCCTATTCATCCCAGTCTAGAACCTCCAAGGCTGTTACATCAGACACGTCGTTAAGTAATCTCTATGGGCTGGATAACACTGATGGTGAATTCTCAGGTAAAGTAGATATTGCCACATATTTCAAATATAGAGCAGGTCTCATTGCAAATCGGATTGAATGTTCTTATGGAGAAAAATTTTACTTTTATGGCTCGTCATGATATGAGAAAAATAAAGATGGATTATTTCATTGTCATAAACCATAGTGTTATGAAATATCTAGAAAATAGAAATGACAAGGAATGATATGAGCCGAAAAGGATCCTGAAGATTTTGAGAATTGTTAGCCCTGTCTTTTAATCTTCACACTGAATTTCAGATACTGAATCTTCAACCTACCGTGGTAGTTCATCGAGTAGATCTACCAGTCAAAGTTCAAGATCAAATTATGGAGTGTCATGGTGGCGAAGAGTGTGGCTGTTCATGGTTACCATAGTAACTACTGTGACAATGACCACAGGTAACATTGTCTCTGGTGCTATATTAGGAGTGGCTCATGGTGCTAAATACATAACAGGAACCTTGGGGTCATCTACATCAACTATAGGTAATGGTTGGATCATATTTATTTTAGATTATTCAGATTAATTAAGTTAATACTAAAAGTTTGTTTTGAAGAAGATTGCAACTCATGAAAAAGTAACACCTCTTACTTAATTTGGTATTTTTGGAGATGGCTCAAATTGTTTATGTATGTCTCACCAGGAAGTTAATGTTTTGAGTTGGGAGTAGTCTCCATCTTACTTTAGAGGGAGTTAAATTTAGAAACTACGACTGTTTAGGAGTGCATTAAGTTTTGACATGATCTCAAAAATGCTCTCCAAATTGCAGCCTTTCAAAATACAAATCTATATTTCCTTTTATAATTTGAAATAATTTTTATTTTTTGCTGTTTTAAATTTATTAAATAAAATGTTAAGTAATTAAGGATTTAGTGATATTTAGTGATATTAATCCTTGTTCCAAACAGAATAATTATATAACATTTTAATAATAGCATTAGAGTAAGATAATAACATTTCATCCCTCCCATTGATATATGTAACTGCTTTTTTTGAATAAAACTCTAAATATCAAGCCATAGTAATCATTGATTTTCTTTGACAAAAATTATCACTTTAGTGGAATTAATGTTAAATGTAGGATCCTTATTCAAGTACATCAAAAACATATCATTATGGCCATATTTGGAGTTATTCACGAGATGAGATGAAAAATACCCAAAAATGTGTCTGTAACCATATCTATTAATGGTTTCTGCTGAAGTTGATTATATTACAGGTACAAATGGGAGTTATTGATCACACCTCGTTTTTTTATACTTTGATTTTATGTTTTTATTCAATTTTATTTGTATTCACAGCTTCTGCTTCACAGTCCGGCACTAGCACAATATTCCACACCATCACCCATCTCCTAAGATCTCTTATCCAGCGTTTCACCACCATCTTCTATCTCATTGCCTTATATGGAGATGCATTTATCATCAAGGTTCATCATAGCATTGCAGGAATTTTCCAAAATATTTGTTCCGTGTATGAAACAGGTAGAAATTGGTTTATGTTTCAATGTTATGTTTTGTTTAGTATGTTTGTTACCATGGTGACAGGTGTGTGTCAGTTTGTGTTCAATTGTCTGAATGCTGTCACTAATGGGGGGTTTTCTGCAATTATGGCAATATTTTCAACTTTGTACGATTCAGTCATTTCCCTTTTTACATTCATAACCTCAGCGGTTGTCTCAGGAGCTTCATCAATCTCAGGTTTTATTGTTTCTTTTTTCACTGGATTATTCAGTGCATGTTCAAGTTTTGTCGCAATGGTGTTCATTTCTCTTGCTAACTTTGTATACAATGTGGTAGGGGGTACATTCAGTGGATTCAGAAGTGGAGTAAGTCTCATTGGAAATGGGATTGAATGGTTCGTCACAAATGGGTTGATTTCTATTGGTAATGTACTATCTTATGTTGGGATAGGAATTGTGTCATTAGTATCAAGTGTTGTATCTGCAATAGCCACTGTTTTGCATACAGTCACATTTGGTGGTGTGAGTGGGGTCAAGAATGGCATTTTAACAATTGGAAATGGATTCTCAAATATTGCGACAAAGATGTTCACGTCAGGTTCAACGTTTGTTTCAAAGGTGTGTACAGCATGGGGAGAGTGTTGTTCTTATGTTGTATATGGTGCAATAGATTTTATTTCATGGGTGTTCAGATCAGTTGGCTACGGATTGACATACTTGGTTTATGGTGCAGCTGGTCTTGTTTCATCTGTGTTCAGGTCAGTTGGAAATGGATTGTCATATTTGGTACTTGGTGGAGCAGCAGGGATGAAAAGTGGTGTTGAAGCCACAGGAACTGGATTAAGATCTGGTGTAGGATCTATTGCTGGAGCTATAGGAACCACATCATCTAGTCTTGGTAAGACAACCTCACCCTGGATAAATTCCTGTAATTTAAGTATTGAACTGCAAAATGGAGTGGAAATGAGTTGGAATTTGAAAAGAATAGGCATAAATATAGACTCTTAGCAAATGCAATGGAAGTAAAAGAACTAATTGCCAAACAAACATGTTAAGGTAGAACAAGACCAACTAATCAATAAAAGACCAACCGAAATCTTCGAAACTTGCCTGATAAGAATCATGCTTCAAATTCAAGTCAAAAACATGATTATAGAAATATTGGGAAAATTTTGATTTCATTTCCCATGTTTAGATACTCAATATTTGACATGAAATGAGACATAAGTCAATAAGATTTCAAGTTTACCTCATTCATACACATCTTTATATAAGTTGATCTCTTGGATACCTTAATTCTTAGACCCATGGTGGATGTTTTTGTATCCATAATTTTTTAAATTTTATTTAGAATTGATTAATTTATGCCATTTAAAGCTTTTAATTTCTTAATTTTCAATCCATTCCTTTCTATTCAAATATAAATCTATTACAGTGAGCACAACATACAACATCCTAAAAACCATACTGGAGTACATATTCACTGGAATCTTCTTGATCCTGTATTCAATCTTTGCATTGATTCGTAAGATGTTCCAATATGTCGTTTACATCTTCACACAAGGATGTCATTCTGTTGGGCTGTTTGCTGATTACACTGTGGAGACCTCAAAATCAGCAGGTGAATTTCTTGAACACTGTCATGTGGTTCTTACATTTTTTGGAGTTGAGCGAACCTGATGCTAATAAACAAAGGATTAAAAAGTACAGACTTCATCCTAATTTTAAGGAGAAATAAGTTGGAAAACACTGAAGTAAATGAGTCAAATATTTAGGATATGCAGGGAAGATTTTTTTGTAATTAATATTACTTAGTATAAGATTTTAATTTTAATCTGTTGTTGTAAGACTTAACTTTTTTTTTGTTATATAATTAAGCTTAACATTTAACCTTATTTAAGTTTCCACGGTAACCAGTGTCACATCGGAAGGTGCTAAACTGGTTGCAGAGTCAGCAACACATGCTGCGGGAAGTGTAACATCTGGGGCACAAAACATGGCTACACTTGCTGCAGATACGGTACATTCTGGTACAGAGTCAGTTATCCAATCAGCTGCAAGTGCGGGAGGTGCAATCACCACCGGTGCTGCAGCCGTTACTGGAACTGCATCATCTGCAGCCAAGTCTGTACGAAAAAGGACAAAGACTGCAGCCGGTGCTGTAAAATCTGGAGCTAAAAGTGCTATTGGTGTGGCAGAGTCTGGGGCAATAGGTGCTCTGGGGGTTGTTTCTACTTCCTCATCTGGGCTGGCAGGTAGGAGAAATGTGCCCACTATGATGTGGCAGGCCACAATGGGAAATATCCTTGATTGAAAACATTTGTAAATTTTAGTAAAACCTGTGTTGGACGGGATTCCAACAATTGGAATGTCCTTAGACTACAGTGATTCACATTAGGTGTTTACTTACAGATGCACTCCTCTAGACAGTTTTACTGCATGATATATTACTGCCACTGCAATATATTATTGCTTTTAACATTTACATACTAAAAAAGTTCAAATATTTTATTGCTTATCAGTCATTAAATACATTGTAAAGTACTACTTATGTACAATTTATTGAACAATTCACTAAGTTCAGAAAGTTCTAAATTAAGATATTGCGTTTACAACTTAAACTTCTGTATAATGATATAAATGTATTCCAGGTGGTATACAGAGTATTGTTAGAAGGATTGGGACTTGGTTCTATAAAGTCATCACCACAGTTACAACATGGGATGTCTGGCTACTATACAGGTATGGGTCATGGTATAAATTGTGAAATACAGTTGAAAAGAGTGATATTTGGAAGGGATAAAGTTGAAAAGCTAAGATTGTAAAATTGTGCCATGAATTCTAACATCTATATTTAAGGTCTAGAGAAAGGCGAAGAGGGTGTTGTCTATGCCTACTACCACTATTGCTACTGATTCCTCTACTTGGGGGTGCCTACTATTCTACTAACAGTGAGGAGTCATGGCTAGCTGGAGGCATACTGGACTCAATCAGCACTTCAGAGCAAACTGACAAATCTCAAGATTCTATTACTATTACCCCTCCTGTAAGTTCACTTGTTACTATGTGACTTTTACCTCATTTGAAGAGTGCTCCGTGGGTGTCATCTTGAGTTGATGTGCACAAGAAATCTTGTCACCAATATAGCAAGAAACTTCTTCCGTTTTACTTCAAATTTTTATGGATGCAAGATCAGATTAGTGTCAAGATGTGATTAGGATTTTGGCTTTGTGGGTAACACACAAGGTGGCATGAGCATCTTACCTGATAATATTGGAACTAACATCAGAGAGAAGACTTAAACCTTGCTAACTTTGTCCCCCTTGGCCAGGATTTGCCAAGGGGGGTTCAGTTTTCAAAAATTTCCAGGGGGGTTCACATTTGACAATTTTGGCCCAAATATGGCTAAAATCACTTGAGAAGTGCTCAAAATGGTGAAAAATTGCATGATTTTGAAAGAAATTTTTGGCCAGGGGGGATTCGCCCGAACCCTGCAAACCCCCCTGGCTACAGGCCTGGAGTAACAGGTCAATTCTATGTTCAATGACATTTTGACTCATTTCCTTTCATGTCATCTCATCGTAGGTGATACCAGTAGGTGCACAAGGGGTGGATGCCAAATTGTTAGATGCCAAACTTTCCCAGATCACAGTCAACCTGAATCAGAGGATAGAACAGATCATAGCAGCAAGGTACTTGTAGAAATCCTCACAGATATGTATTATAATGTAATAAACTGGAGAAAAGGTCTATATTGAGCACTTTTAGTAGTCAGGCCCAAAAGGATGTAGACATCTTTTGTTGAATCACAGAACCTTGGCATGCAAAAGTTTCAAAAAATGATCAATTAGTTATCACCTTTCTGCCTACCTAGAATACTTGGAGATAAAATTGAGAAATAATAGAAAATTGATATGATTCATAACTTCCTGAGCATCCTTAAATTGGTTATGTAATATATATTACAGAAGCAGCGAACAGCCCAAGGGTCTCTCAGCTATAGAAATAGAGGCTTTAGTGAAAGAGATTGTTAGAACTGAATGGAGTGTGTTAGCTGGCGGGTTAGCTGCTGGGATGGCTAGTGAGGAAAAGAAAGCTGCTGAGACACAGGTAAGCTGCATGCAGCTAAAACTATAATTCATTGTTTTCTTTCTCTCAGAGATTTTAAGAATTTGGAGTGTTGACTTCTTGCCTATTTTTTATGCCTTCTTAGATTTTTCTTATTTTGCATGTTTGAGCATGCCATCATATCATACGCAATTTTCTAAATTCCTCGAGTATTTTGACTTGTTCACTAAATTATTTTGATTAAGTGATATACAGTAGTAGAAATAGTAGCAAGTATGCTTATTGTCTTTTAGGAACCACCAGCTTTTTGGAAAGCAACACTAGTATGCTTAGATTTGATTTTTATACCTGTAAAATCAAGTTTGATGTTATTGTGTTATTTATTTAGTTAATGCTGTTGAACTATTGAATTTATAAATTGCCAAGAAAAATAGTGACTTAACCACTTAATCTTGGGGACAAATATTTAAACCATAATCTCCAAGTCACCCCCCCCCCCCCCCCAAAAAAAAAATGCTCCATTATTGATGGACATTCATTGTTTCAATTGCTAATAAAAATATATTTGCTTGTTCCTTTGAGAATGATTTTTCTCAACAAAATATCATAAAATATGACACACTTCACTAAGTCATGTTGAAGAAATTTTCAAGAACAATACATGTAGTACAATACTGACATGCATACTGCCTGGGCATAATTTTTCCATTAATTTACTATTTAACTATATCCTCTCATCTAATTCTAATTTCTTTAAAGATAAAGTTTGATACATATATTTTACATATATGTACTTGCTTTTATTTTAGGGAGCAGCATTTGCAGGTCAAGATGCCAAAATTGCTGCTTTGCAGAGTGAACTTCAAGGAGTCATTGGAAAAGCTGAAGTAAGCTGAACTTCTTATCACTTTATTAAGCACTTAGCATTTAAACACACCGATATAAACTCAGATAAGTTAAAGCAGTCTGAAAATCTTGAATTTTTTTCATGTAACTTGATGAAGTTTTGAGTACAAATTAAATATATTCAAGTTTTTATAGCATTGGGAATTGAAAAGCTTATTGAACTGGAAATCATATTTGTTTGGCCTCAGTCATGTAACATCCAGTTTTGAATGTCCCATGAATTGTACCATATGGGATAATCCCATGAATTGTCCATGTCTCATGAATTGTACAACATCCCATGAATTGTACCATATTCCCCGAATTGTCCAATTCTCACAAATTGTACCATATCCCATGAATTGTCCATGTCTCATGATTTGTACCATATCCTATGAATTCTCCACGTCTCATGATTTGTACCATATCTCCTGCATTGTATCATACCTCATGAATTGTACCATATCTCATGAATTGTACCATATCCCATGAATTGTATCCCTCACATGAATTGTCCATGCCTCATTAATTGTCCTTTAATATTGCCTCATTAACCAGATGGTCTTCAGGTGAGCAATCAAAATGTTATTTTATGAAATGAATTTCACTATGATTTATGGTTTATAGGGGTTGTCTGCAGAACTAGCTGCTGCCGTGGCCGCCATGAAAATGTAAGTGTTGAATAGCATAGTCTTGCATATTGTGTTATTAGAGAGGCTTCAGTTTTTTACATAACATGGAAAATAATAATCTGGTTTGAAGGTGGATATAGTTCAAATCTCACCCATTTATTTATAAATGTACCACAAGACTTCTTGCTGATTATTTCAGACAAGGGGAGGAAGACAGAACAACCAACTCTGGCAATATTCTAAAATTGGAGGCCTCACTGGCAGGTTTGAAGGCAGATATAGCTAGGCTACAGGCAGAACAAGCCACTCAGGGGGCCCTGTTAGCTGCGGTGAAAGACTGTTGTAAGAATGAAACTTTCCTGGGGGCTACAGTCAAGGATCACATTGCTGCATACTTAGCTGGGGTGAGTTAGGAAATAGGTTTGAACAGACTGAAATAACCAGTTGGCATAAAAATGACCAGTTGACAAATAATATAATTTTTAATTATTTAAGAATTAGCTCAGCAAAAAGATTCTTGAGTGCTAGAAGGTAGTTAGTCTAAGTGGTACCAAAATTGCAAGTTACCTTTGTCTGATTCTGCCTTTAAATGATAGTAATTATGTCACCACCAAAAGTCCGGCGGTTGGTGGTTGGCGTCCGGCGTCTGTAACAATTTCTTACAACTTCCTATAACTTAACAAATACTGTTTAGACTGACTTCAATTTTTTTCTAAATCATCTACATTCGTTCTCAGAAGTTCAAATCTGACTTTAGATTTGACATTTGACCTTCAATGACCTTCTCAAGGTCAAAAAGGTCTTTTTTCAACTTGCTTCACATTGACTAAATTTTTTTTCAAAATCATCTACATGTTCTCTGAAATTCAAATCTGACTTTAGATTTGACGTTTGACCTTCAAATCTGACTTTAGATTTGACATTTGACCTTCAATGACCTTCTCAAGGTCAAAAAAGGTCAAAAAGGTCTGTTTTCAACTTGCTTCAAATTGACTAAATTTTTTTTTCAAAATCATCTACGTGTTCTCAGAAATTCAAATCTGACTTAAGATTTGACATTTGACCTTCAATGACCTTCTCAAGGTCAAAAAAGGTCAAAAAGGTCTGTTTTCAACTTGCTTCAAATTGACTAAAAAAATTTTTCAAAATCATCTACGTGTTCTCAGAAATTCAAATCTGACTTTAGATTTGACTTAAGATTTGACATTTGACCTTCAATGACCTTCTCAAAGTCAAAAAAGGTCAAAAAGGTCTTTTTTCAACTTGCTTCAAATTGACTAAATTTTTTTTTCAAAATCATCTACATGTTCTCAGAAATTCAAATCTGACTTTAGATTTGACATTTGACCTTTAATGACCTTCTCAAAGTCAAAAAAGGTCAAAAAGGTCTTTTTTCAACTTGCTTCAAATTGACTAATTTTTTTTTTCAAAATCATCTACGTGTTCTCAGAAATTCAAATCTGACTTTAGATTTGACATTTGACCTTTAATGACCTTCTCAAGGTCAAAAAAGGTCAAAAAGGTCTGTTTTCAACTTGCTTCAAATTGACTAAAAAAAATTTTCAAAATCATCTACGTGTTCTCAGAAATTCAAATCTGACTTTAGATTTGACTTAAGATTTGACAATTGACCTTCAATGACCTTCTCAAAGTCAAAAAAGGTCAAAAAGGTCTTTTTTCAACTTGGCCCAAATTGACTAAATTTTTTTTTCAAAATCATCTACATGTTCTCAGAAATTCAAATCTGACTTTAGATTTGACATTTGACCTTCAATGACCTTCTCAATGTCAAAAAAGGTCAAAAAGGTATTTTTTCATCTTGCTTCAAATTGACTAAATTTTTTTTCAAAATCATCTACGTGTTCTCAGAAATTCAAATATGACTTTAGATTTGACATTTGACCTTCAATGACCTTCTCAAGGTCAAAAAGGTCTTTTTTCAACTTGCTTCAAATTGACTAATTTTTTTTTTCAAAATCATCTACATGTTCTCAGAAATTCAAATCTGACTTTAGATTTGACATTTGACCTTTAATGACCTTCTCAAGGTCAAAAAGGTCAAAAAGATCTGTTTTCAACTTGCTTCAAATTGACCAAATTTTTTTTTCAAAATCATCTACATCTTTTCAGAAGTTCTAATTTGACTTTACAAGTTCTCAGAAATTCAAATCTGACTAAAGTTTGAACTCATAATATTGTGAGCAACTAGGTGGTGACATTTTGTCATGTTAATGCCTTGTTACAGTATAGTGTGTTGCTTTCATGCTTGTTCACATTAATCCGTAATTGCCAATTCCACCTTTGACATGAACATGTTTAGATTTGATTTTCCATAATTGCAGATGATGGGAGGAGCAGCTGCTGGGTCTGGCACAGGAGGTAGTGGATCTTCCTCCTCTGCCTTCACATCCTGGTTGCATAGCAACTTTGTCTCCAAGGATGATGTTGATAAGAGGCTGGCTGCCCTTGCTGCTATGGTGACTGAACGAGTGATAGAGAGACAGAATGCAGAGAAAGCAGGTGGCGCTGTTTATGTGTCCACGCATAATAATAATACTAGTCTAACTCAAAATGTAAGTGACTCTGGGATATTATCTATTATGTAAATTGTTGATGGAATTTTATGAATATTAAATACTAATTATCTCAATTGAACTCTTAGTGACAGGATATTTTCTTTGGGAAATTGCTGTTCATTAGTTAAAAGTCTAATATTTCCTCATTTTCTAATCCTAAATTAAATGAATTAAAAGCAAAACTAACTTGCCCCTTCAGTAGACTTTGAGACAAACTTTCTATAGATAATTAACCTATAGGTGTATAGATATTAACCTATAGGTCTAGGTTGAAAAACATTGAAATAACTGGAGTTTCATTTTTGTTTTGATTCAGGATGTGAAACTAATTATCGCAGAAGCTCTTGCCATATATGGTGCTGATAGAACAGGAATGGTGGACTATGCATTGGAATCTGCAGGTAAGTGGCATGTGGCATTCCACTGATAAATTAAGATTTATAGGTTTAAGTCCTTCTGAAGTGGAACACTGTCATATAAACAGGTTATCACAGAAACTTCATAAGCAGGCAAGGATATGCACATGTTTAAAAAGTTCCTTTCATTCACTTGAGCCATTTGATATTTTGTGATATCATAATAATCTATAAAATGTTGAGATTTATAATCTATTACATAATGAACTTTGTAAGACATGTGATGCATAATTTGGCTGGGATTTTTATATTTATGTCAATCAATACATTTTGAGAATTAACAATATTTTAATGGGCAAACTCATACAATGTATTTATACCAAGTATTAAGTCCTGAAATGTATGTGTTATGCTGCATAAACATGATAAAGAGAATTAAAAATCACTTTTTATTTAGGTGGGAGTATATTGAGCACCAGGTGTTCTGAGACATACCAGAGGCGCACAGCACAGATCAGTATGTTTGGCATCCCCCTGTGGTATAATAGCAACTCCCCAAGGACAGTCATTCAAGTGAGCCAATTTAAATAAAAGACTGAATTATGAATACCTTGGAGTTACAGTATGGAACCTATATTTGTCAACACTCTCTAAAGTAAATTATCAGTTCCATTTTCCTTGATATCTCATAATATCTGTTTCTTTAATTGTAAACACCATGAAATTTCTTAAAAATCGGGGTCATTTGTATACTAAACTAATTTCATTTTGAAGTAGTAAAAAGCCAATTTACATTTAAAAAATGTTAAATCGTTGAATTCTATTGATTAAGGTGGTTAAACACCTGGATGCCTAAAAATAACTGAACAATAAATGTCATTTGTGTGTTTTATTTATAGATTTATTTCAATTTCAGCCTGATGTACATCCTGGACAATGCTGGGCTTTTAAAGGTGATAAAGGTTATCTCGTGATCCAGCTGTCGGGTGTTATAAAGCCTTCGTCATTTTCTCTTGAGCATATCCCCAAGTCTCTGTCTCCCAATGGACATATTGATAGTGCCCCACAGAACTTTACAGTCTGGGTAAGTTAAAGTGTACCAATGCAGGAGTTTCATAAAACAGCAGGCAAAGGGTGATTTTCTTTTCTCCAGAAGAATTTCGCAATATTTCCATGTTGAAATTATATTCTAATGAAGTTACTGAAATTGTAATCTTATATCAGTACAGAGGCTAGTCAGTGATTTTGATAGAATTTATGATAACCAGCAAGTTGTTGGAAAATCAACTGACAAAATTTGTAAAAACAATCTGCAATTTGTCTTTTTCTCTCATTGCCTGCTGGTTGTGATATTATATTCATATCCAGGGGACAGTCTAGTATCGCAAAGCAATTATATTTTGTCCTGGATCTAAAGGAAGCTCAGTTAGTCTCACAATGTACATATTTAACTTTCAACATTGTCAATTGTAGCACGTCTTCCATGATTTTCTTTCAGAAAAGAAATAAAGTAGCCTAATTTTGATTATTGTAAATGCTTGAATGATATTAATAAAGTAAGAAAACACGTAGAACCAGGGTTAACTTGTTTAAAATACAAATATTTAAATATTTCATGTCATGACAAAATCAAGTGGCTTTTATTCTGCTTTGTATTTAGTGTAAATAGTACTTAACTATATTACATATCGACACTATGACTGAGGTATTTGAATATGTGAACCATATCTTTGCAGGGTCTGAAGCATGAGAAAGACATTGATGGCTTGTTACTAGGCAACTATACATATGATGATAATGGTCCATCTTTACAGAACTTCCCAGTTGAGGTAAGTCACTTTGGAGATGACTTAATCTCAATATAATCAGTAATACCATTAGGAAAATGTAAAGTGGTGCACCTCAACTAGGCTTCATAGATTTTTAGAGTTAAAGTGTGCGCCTGACCCGGCTACGTATAGCACAGAGTTTATACTGGCGGATTAGACTAGTTCATTTTTTATATGTGTGTGAAAGCTTTCTCTTATTTGCGTTTTTTCGTTTAGTACGGTTTTGTTATAATTGCCGAGGTCATATAACCGGGATGAAACAATGATTATCGTTGACTGCCCACACACAAAACATACGTTGAGTGAACAGTGTTATTACAAACAACAGGCTCTAGAATACAAAGCCCAGTAGTGTGATAATAAGCTGTACACTACCACTGCTGCATGTACATATTAGTAGGGCTCCCAAAGAGTGGATAGGGAGGTTGTGTTTGTCACTTTTAAATTTTACATTTCAAAATTGTCATTTTACATGTCATAATTTGTTGGTTTCATTCATTTAGCCAATCAAAACATTGTAAAACAATAAATTGTCTGTTACGTACAATCAATTTTGTTCAGTTTTGATTAATTGTCAGAATAAAGTTACGTTCATCTGAATCCATGTATCAAAACAAAAATCTTATTTTCACTTCAAAATACTTCAGTGAGATGAATACTCGGAATTGTCACATGCAATAACTTATTGTCGTATTCGTTATTTTATCTTCTCGATAGTAGCATTTAGTCGCACATTTGATGCCAGGTCACCTTGTCGCGTACCTCTTGGGGAGCCCCACATTTATGTGTGTACTCATGGAAGTAAATTCCCCGGTGTAGCCGAGAGCCACAAACTTTTCAACAGCTTCGAAATGGCCAATTTCTCTCATATACTCTAAATATTTTATTATTTAGCACCTACAAAGTATTGCTAATAACCATATGTAATTTCAATAAGGAAACTTATCTGGCTACATGTAAATTCAATATCAACACTAGCTGTTCTCTCAACACGCCCTGGCTTACCTTGTGGTGACAAACCCTGGATTTTCGCTATTTATAGTTTATCAACACCTGGACGCATGCGCATTTTATAGTTTATCGGGCACTTTAATGAGATTACAGCTTGAAAAAAGAAGTAACTTTTGTTGAGGATCGTTCTGCATTGCTGTGTCAGATGTAGCAAGAAGGGGGGAAAGATCATAGATATCATTTTATCAAAGCCTTCCCTGTGAATAGCCTCTGCATTAGTAGACTAATCCATCATTGTTTTGAATGATGGGGATCTGTCTCTTTATCATTGGTTGAACTTGTGTCTAAATGTATTTTCTTTCAATGTTGTTATAGTCTCCAACTTATTTGTGGACGGTGTTCTGGAGTTGGTGTTTGGCAGTCAGCGTCTGTAACAAATAAAATGTGGTGACATTTTGCATGTTAATGCCTTGTTGGTCTCTATGACACTTATCATTTCTATTACTATATTTATTCAAATATGTAACTGTTCCAGGTGCAAGATCCAGATGGTTACCTGTTTGTTGAGTTGAAAATAGAGAGCAATTGGGGCAATGAAGAGTACACATGTATCTACAGATTCAGGGTACATGGTGATCTAGAAAGCTGGTATTGAATCATGATATCACAAATGATGTACAATAATAATGACATCACAGTAGGAGAATGACATCATAGTTGGATTTGAATGAAGGATTTGAAGGAGATATAAATAAAACATAAAAATGTTTAGGTGTTCACCCAACATGCTCAAGACAATGAATGTATCAAAAACTGGCATACAGAGTTCTGTTTGTCTAGGAATGTCTACAATGATATAATTGCTTTGCGGTACAAGACCCCTGTCCCCTGGATATGAATACAATATCAGTCATCCCAAGATGGATAAATATTACAAAAAAACTTTAAAAGCTGCTTTCGGCAGGACTTGGCTGAGATCAAATATGTGTGTTCCGGTAAATAAAATGCAATACAAAATGAAATTGACAATAATAAGTCACTTGAGAGGATTCCATTATATAAATTGGTGATGTAAAATGCATAGATTTAGAATGTGATTGTGTTCAAATTGTTAGTTCACAATATTGATGGTAAGAGAAACTCCACTTGCTTTATACACATCAGAATTCAGATATGCTTTTGATGTAGCTTTATATCTACATATAGTTAATACTAAGTATATTAATTTAAAAGATTAATCAAATTGAATTTACTTTAGATGTACTTCATTACTAGAATATTATATTGTAGGCCTTCACCTGGGAAAAACTGGAGAAATCCAAGCAAATGAGAACACTTGCATACAGTTGTTACCTCTTGTTATGTATTGGCTGGGATGGGAGATTATATTTTCTTTGCAAATGCATCTATTCAAGTCCACTTATATGGACAATCCAACAAAAAATGTGAATGTAGCAATATTTACAGCTGTTTAGTTTTTAGGAATGAAATTTATTTCTAAAATGTTATTTATTTATATTTAGGCTAGATTAGTTAAAATGCCAAGGTGCCATAAGTCTTTAATGTATGTCTATGAGGGAAATATCAAAACATGAGAAGTTTAATGTTATATAAATATTGTAATATACATTAATGTAGATAGTGTACAGTTTTATACAGAGATATATCATCTATATTATGTTGTATGAGGGCTGTTCCAGAATGTCTGGGAAATTATGGTCATCATAAGTGAACATTGTTGTTGTTTAATATTATCAGCGAAGAATATTTAGTCATGTACAGCTTCAATGCATTTATTTAACATTCAATGTCTTAGAAATGAAATGCGTATTTATTTAGATTAATAGCTATTTGGCCAGTCAGCTATAATGTGCAGAACTTGGTTGTGGGCTTCTATATTACCCATTCACTTACTTCTATATATTCTGTTAGATTTGAGAAAATTATGTTATATAGGCCTATACAATTTATTTTGTACTACAATTTGTCATAACTGCATATATGTAATATTGCTTGTGTTAATGATGGAATTGCTAGATGAACCCATGCTTCAAATATATTGTTATAGCAGAAACCTCAATAGGTCTATTTTGATGATTTGCATTCACTATGCACAATATCCCACCAGGTTCATAACATAGTTGTGAGACACCATTTTGAAGATGTAGTTCCTTCTATGAAATAATGGAAAAAGGTATCATTTTCATCCTGGATTTAACAGCTAGGAAATACAATAAAGACGAATTAATTTGTATTTTCAAGATGCATCATCTTTATTGGTTTATTATTATTATTAAATAAATAATTTAACGCCATAATTATTTACAGACTAGCTACATGTGTATTTAATTCAGTTTTCTAATAATAAATATATAAAATCTGAGTATCTAACTTTGTTATTCATTATTACAATAGGCCAAAATATTTCATTCACAACAGCCAACACTTTCATAAATTCATTCATTGGTAGGTCTTTTTGCTCAATGAACATTCTTTGTCATTTCCAACACATTCATTTAGACATACATGTACATGTATATTATTCCCGACACTGAATTGTATAAATGGAAGATCCACAATTTTCACAAAAAATGCCACCTATACTGTTTGGTTAGTTAATTAGTTAGTTCTGCTTCTGTCCAAACTTACTCCAGATATTTTATCAATTTGAGTGTCTGTCTTTCTGGCATTCATTTACAATTTTGACTAATGTTTGGTCCTTGCTAGATTCACTATAAATTCTAATATCATTCAAGAACATGACATTTCTCTCAAGGTGATTTTCACTATTCATTATCCAATTATTAGCCTACAAGCAGTACAATTATTGCTTATCCTAGAATTAGTTGGGTCCAGTTTAAATTGTACTTTCATCACGTCTGATGAATATACAGGGTTCCTCCAGGACATTTTTTCAACTTGGTGCAGGGTAACACTGATTAACACTGCTATTAAGATCATTCTTTGGCATCAGATATTCCTCCTTGGGTGATTGCAAATGTTGCTTCATTCTCAGGAAGATCAGGGCTGAAATATTCAGAATTATTACGTATCTATCAAGTTTGCCATTGGTACGATTGGTCAAAATTGAGTTGTGTGTCACGAAAGATTTGGCGATATTCACTACTCTTCACGCTAAAATCATGGCAGATGCGAAAAGATTTAAATGAAACTGACACCAGTTGTACACATTAGCACAAAATTCAACTATTAACATTCTTATCAAAGTTTTTGCTGATTGGATGGTGGAGACTGGGAGCAATATCAACTTACAAATTGTGAAAAAATGTGAACGGACTAAAAATTAAAAAGATTGGTGAAGTGAGAAATAAAGATGGGTATCATAACAGAGCAGCAAAATATCGAATATAAGCCAAGGAATATACAAACACCGACATAATACTTTTTCATTCTTCTCAAGGTGAATATCTGTGGCACAGTATGCTAGTGGAATATCATCTTGTGAAAGATGCACAGGTATTCACCTCAATAGAATGAAATATTCGTGTAATATTTAACTGTTTAATAGGCCTAAATAACTTGACATTATTTTCATTTGTGAGACATTCATCAATATATATGCAAACACTTTAACAAAAAAAATCATATTGACTTTAGAACTTTTCAGTTGACTTTCTGTGACTAGATTCAGTAGACATGATTTAATTTCAGATGAAATCAAACTGAAATGATCACATCCATTTCCCTAACAAATCCAAGTTTTTCATACATTAATTTTCATGTCATACCTGTCGTAAATCTTGGCTATCCTAAGTTCCCCCCTGCCCTTCCTGAGACTGAGTCTTGTAGTAGAAGCATGGGCCAAGATGTGACCTCCTATAGGCTTCTTAGGGTCTGCTTGAAAACTGAAGATAAAAAGTTTTATTACATTTATGTGACAAAGTAGAAGCCTCCCTACTCAGATAACTTTAAATAAATATGCCAAGTTTTAGAACTAGTAGTCGAAAATAATACTTTGATGACAAAAGGCCATTTTTCAAAATGAGGCAAAAATAAAAGCTGAGATCAATGATATAAATTGCTGATATGAGCATAAGTTTAAATGAATGGCAATTATCTTTTGTCAGAAAATTGTTGGTGAACAGACAAGTGGTGCATGTACCTGTTATCATTGCTGCTTCCAAAGAAAGCAATATTTCAAGCCTTGATATTTTCAGGAAAGAAGTTTTGTATCCTGTAAGTGGTGAATTTCAGGGTGTTATAAAAATAGAGTATTTTAGGGACAGTCCCATTAGTCACAATTATTACTCATGAACAAATGACAGTTGCTCTAAGTAGGAAAGTTTCTTGAAACTTATAAAAATAGACCAAAAATACATGTTCCTTATATATTTTCCAATTCATCATTGAAATTCTCAATTTCAATGTGCTGCCAATTTTACTGAAAGGGGATTTTCAAAGGCCTACAAACATTTCATAATTTTGAGGAATTGTGTTGATATTTTAAAAGCATATCCTTGAGATGAATTATAGTTTCCTGGAATAACTTTCTTTACTGAAAATTTTAGAACAAGCATTGCATAATTTCATAAAATTTAAACTCTTGCAATTGCTATATTTCCAGATATATGTGCGAGGGTGTGCAGCACTATAACGAGTATCAACATTGATTTATGTTGTACTTGAAATAACAGAAGCAGTCTCACTTTAGTGCATGAACTTTACACACGCTGCCTTGCAGTCTATCAAGGTCAGACTTAGTCTTCTAGGTGATACTGAACAGTGGTAAGTAGATAACAATTCTGTAATAATACATAAGTCTCTTGAAACTAGTACGATAGGAGTCATTATACGAGTACAAGAATATTTAGTAGATGTTTGTAAGGAAAACTCTGGCCTGGGAATCAATAGGGAGGGTTGTCTAAAATAACCAGAGGTGAATCTCAATTGAGGAAATGTGACAAAAATCAATGTGAGGAGTGGCAATCAAAGTAGAAATGAGGTAGAAATTAGCAGGGAGGGTGTAATGGATGATGGTGGTTATGAGTTCAACATGGTCATGTGGTGAGAATCAACAGACAGTTGATACTGTCCTAAACAATCTTTTTAATGTCAACTTGTTTTCTGATTCAAGAAAATGGCTGAAAAAGAGCTTGTGCTGACCACACTTTCATCCATTCTTCACGTGAGGCCAGAAGCCATAGATACGAGTAAAGGTTTACCAGAGATAGGCCTTAATTCACTCCATGTAGCGCAATTCATTATAGCAATGAAGAAAAATCACTACGTTATATCACTTGGAGACATTATCACAGAAAGGCTGACTATTAATGACATTGTGTCCCTTTTGGAAAGGAATGCTATGAAAGATAACCCATACCCTAAAGGGAATGTTACATCTGAAACAGAAAACACATTCAAGCAATTTTCAAGAATTTTTGCAGAATCTAATAATTTCATTGTAGTCTCATTGAATGATTGTCCAGATAGGGATCATGGCAAGCAGTTGACCTTAACTGCCTTCACAGAAACCCATCCATGGATAAGTCCATTATATAACCATGATGAAATTACAAAGCTATTAAACAATTGCTGGACTAGTGGTATACTAGAGAAAAATATCTCTGTAGCAGCAGTTGACAAAACCACACAGAAAATGGTTGCATGTTGCATCAATGCAAATTTTGCTACATTTCAACAGGATCTTGGTTTAACAGAAGAACAAAGTTTCTCTGATGGTTTTCTTTTGCTTCAAGATTTAATAGAGATGAAAGGAAAACTGGAACCGGCAACATTAGGACGGTATGGAGGGAATTGGATGTATCAATATTCATTTGCAGTTGATCCTAATCTTAGTGTTGGGGAGAAGCTGGAAGTCTCTAAGGTTCTGTTGGAGGGGATACCTGTATTAGCCAAAGAGAAGGGATTTGTTGGGGTAGCAGCCAAAAATGCCAACCCTATCACTTGTGTAGGTATCAAATAAAAAAGTAAATTGGGATTTTAAAATGTTTTAGGAAAGAAATGTTAGAGGAAATCATAATTGAATGAGATATACCATATTTGAGATATATATATGGTATATAAAAGTTTCAATTAAGAACCCAATATGTTTGATCAAGACCTAATCATGTTTTAAGAAGTTAATGAAAGATTCAAGGTTTAGTATTTTAGGCAAATAAAACTGAAAAAAACTTGTTAATATTAATGCCTGATTGTGGCAAAATTAACCAGAGAAACGGGTTCTCAAAGGATTCCCGGAGTGAATAATAAAACTAGACCATCTAATCAAAAATTGAACATTTTCTGTTTTCTTTCAGTTACTAGATGAGGAAGACCCAAATGTTGAATGTGTTGATTCTATTCAAGTGAACCAATACACACGTCCAGATGGAACACAACCTTTTAAACATCTACCAGACATTGAGCGCGTCACAAGTACAGTATACAAATTCTAATGTGTCACTACCAGTAACACAGTAGAAGTATAGACTTTGACTGAGCAACTAGAACTGTATATTATGAACAACTAAATTTTTTTCAACATGTGACAGACTATATACAAGGTGTCAAAAGTGCAATATATAAACTATGTTCGAATGTTTTAAACAACTTTGTTTTGCATCAGAACTGTTTTTACACAATTCTAACTTTAGCCATTGCATAAAGCAATTGCATAGTCCCTAGAAATCAACACATTAAGCCAGGAATAGTCTTTGAATGTGCTGCAATATAATATAAACTTAAATTGTAATATATTATAAAATATTTTGCAGTTTATTTCAATGGAGTCATTTCTTATTTACCAAGGAGGATACTTCTAGCCTCTGAGTGGCTCAATTTGAAATAAAGAGACATTTGCTATCCCCTACAAGACTGAAGACTACACAACTCATGAAATTTTTATTGTTTTTTATTTTTGTTTGGTAAACTCTTCAAATGTCTATTTGTACAAATACAAAAGCATTAATTTTAATTTGTTTATTTAAAAACATGTATATGTACAAAAGTACACATACCAATCCAGTCAGGTAACATGCAATTATTAAACAATAAATCTATACATGAAATAATGAAATAAAACATTGTAATAATACACAGTATACATCCAAACATTTATCATACAAAATTACAAAAATTATGCACAGTAAAGGATGGGATCAACTAAACATAATGTACTTCCTCTGGTGACTACAAAGTAAAATGAAGATCTATTTACCTGATCTCACTGAAAATCTCTCAAAATGGAAAAATGAAATAAAATGGCTTGAATTTTACCATTTTGTGTTAAATTGAATTAATCTAATGACTAATGAATAACAATCATTAGTGCCACTTTTATATCTCTTTGTGAAATATAAGAGAGTGTTCATATCATGATCTGGTATCCTGTCTTAAAAGATTCTATACTTCAAAGTCCATCACATTTTAGCACTATACTTTCCAAGTGGAAATCGAATGCCAAATCTTAATTTTTTCTAAACAGTTTCTACGAAAAGCTACATTACTACTACAATAACAAAGACAACAAATGATTGGTTAGTTGTCACAAAATTTGTCTAAGATAAGGTCTTAAGATACTGCAGCATTAAAATATGAATGGTTTATTTAGACAGCTTCTTATCAGATTTAAATGTCTTCCTGGTTGTCTAATAACAATAAATGATAACAAGTGGTGTTGTTTATCCTCGGCTAGATAGCAGAGTTTAAGTTCACATTACAAACAAATCTATTAGTTAAATATTTTAGAAAATAGTTAGTCTTTATGCTAATACAAGCATGCTAAGCTATTAGTGATTGGTCACAATTATAACTAACTACATTATTGTAAACTATGATATAAGGAAATAAAAGAGATTGTAATAAAGCATGAGATGAAAGTGCATTTCATGACACATTTTGTTCATTTGTTTCTTACAATGATTCAAAGTATGAATTTCTTAAATATCTGAGGCAAAATTATATATTGTATATAATAGGCTTTTATCCTTGGATATATAAGGGTATTGATTGTCCCGTGCCAGCACTATAATCCTGAAAACGTCATGATCTTTTGCCTGTACGATTACACCATGGGAGATTAATTCACGCCTCCTACACTTAAATTACCAACCTCAATACATTCCTGATTAGCCTATTTCAGGTTTCTTTTTTTGTAGTTGAATCACCAATCATACAGGTTTATTGGTAGAATGAGGAAATTTGCCCTCTTCATCGAGATCTTTTGCATCTGTTTTCTAGATGGTGGAAGGGGAACCCCCTGCTGCATCAGACCCGGATGTACCAATAGATGAAGGAATTTTGACAATCGAAATAAGTTAAATAACACGCAAAAATCGAAAATTCACTCATTCTACCGATTAACCAATACAATTAGAATCCAACTGCATAAAAAGAATTCTAATACTCAGTAATTTATTTAACACTCTCTAGTCTGAGAAATAGTTGTAATCAATATTTAGAATGTTAAGCCAATGAGAAATTGGTCATTCCCCCAAATAAATCCTTGGAAGAATGAGCAAAATATGCCGGATATATTTGCACCAAATTAACCATGTTTACAGTAATGGGATAGACCATGCTTACAGGAATGGGATAGAGCATGCATATTTGGAAGAATTAGCAAAATATGCCAGATATATTTGCACCAAATTAACCATGTTTACAGTAATGGGATAGACCATGCTTACAGTAATGGGATAGAGCATGCATCCTTGGAAGAATTAGCAAAATATGCGAGATATATTTGCACCAAATTAACCATGTTTACAGTAATGGGATAGAACATGCTTACAGTAATGGAATAGAGCATGCATCCTTGGAAGAATTAGCAAAATATGCCAGATATATTTGCACCTTAACCATGTTTACAGTAATGGGATCAGGGCCGTCAGATGGGGGGTGCGATGGGTGCGACCGCACCCCCCTTTGTCAACCCCCAAAATAAATTTGAAAAAAAAAATTTTGAAAAAAATATTTTTTTTGAAAAATGTTTTTTTGTATTTTTTTTTCATTGACTCATACACTTTGAAAGTACCCAGAAAGCACCAAATAGCATCTTAAAATTGTAAAATTTTCTAGGGGGAGTGGGCCACCCCTCACACCCCAAACAAAACAATGGAAAAGTTCTGAATTTGTTTTATGTATTGTCTCAGACACTTTTAAATTGCCCAGACATCATAAAATAGCCCCTTGATAAAGTTAATGATTCTAGAAGACTAACACTTACTCGCCCTCTGGCATTCCCACTCCACTTCCCCCTCTGGCAGCCCCCCTCCCTTGAGATTTTTCAAATTTTTTATTGACTCATACCCTTTGAAAGGGCCCAGAAAAGACCAAATAGCATCTTAAAATTATAAAATTTTCTTGGGAAAAAGGCACTTTTAGGCACAGACACTTTTAAAGTGCCCAAACTTCATCAAATAGCACCTTGATATTGTAAATTTTGATATGGGGGACAAATAACTCATAACGCACAGGCGTACCAGATGGTTGCAAATTCGCTCCAAATACAACCCAATTTCAAAATTTTCCTGGGACCCCCCTGAATGCTCGGTTTTTTATTCACTCAACTCTTATTCCCGTGGTGGTTGCGTACTACTTAGAAACTTACACTTTGAAAGTGCCCAGAAAGCACCAAATAGCATCTCAAAACTGTAAAATTTTCCTCACACCCCCACAAAACAATTGGAACGTTTGGAAGTTGCATGCATTTGTTAATTCCAAACCAATATAGGGAGTAACTGACCCCCCCCCCCCCCCCCCTCTGTCTTACGCGATTTGATTTACGCGGCAAAAAAATGACAATTTTATATTCTCTTTAGTAAGCTAAAAACCGCACCCCCCTTGGAGAAAAGTGTCTTACGGGCCTGGGGATAGAACAAGCTTACAGTAATGGAATAGAGTATGCATCCTTGGAAGAATTAGCAAAATATGCCAGATATATTTGCACCTTAACCATGTTTACAGTAATGGGATAGAACATGCTTACAGTAATGGAATAGAGCATGCATCCTTGGAAGAATTAGCAAAATATGCCAGATATATTTGCACCAAATTAACCATGTTTACAGTAATGGGATAGAACATGCTTACAGTAATGGAATAGAGTATGCATCCTTGGAAGAATTAGCAAAATATGCCAGATATATTTGCACCTTAACCATGTTTACAGTAATGGGATAGAACATGCTTACAGTAATGGAATAGAGCATGCATCCTTGGAAGAATTAGCAAAATATGCCAGATATATTTGCACCAAATTAACCATGTTTACAGTAATGGGATAGAGCATGCTTACAGTAATGGAATAGAGTATGCATAATTACCTCATAGTTGCTCCTGGGTCTGATGTCATCTGATTAGTGACAAACACAGCAACATTGTATTCTGAAACAAAACAATGGAGATGTAACTGCAGATAGGTGGCAGCATGTAGGCTTCAGAAAACACAAAACATAAGAAATACTTTTTGTTCTGCCTTAAGTTAAGCGTGCATATTGTTAAAGGATTTAAGCACTGGGCTCAGTGCATTGTGTGCTGAATCATTCCATTGAAAGTGTTGTTTCCAAATATTTACATGACTGCGCAACGGGAATGCAAAGTTGAGGAAACAACCTCTGACCAAATGAAGCAGCCACAATGCATTGAGTCTTGGGCTTAAATTCTCTTCACACATTGAAAAATATTTTCTATGAAATCACCTAAAAGATACAAAATTACTAAGAGAACATGTATTCAATGAAACTTTTTGCAAGGGTCAAGCTGGCAAAGTATCAATTTCAATCTGGAGAACTTGACAACTGTTTAATAAGTGATCTTGAATGCAGTGTTTGGTGATATAATGCAGTGCAGTTACATGAAATACTGTCTTCGGAATGGCTGGAATCAGACACAGCTTCCCTCTCGAGCTATTTGTGAATTTTATTATTGATTATAATTTAATTGGAGCTTAGTAAATGGTTGTCAGATTACTGTACATTAGACTCTGAATAGAAAACATGCTTTAGTGCTGCTGATATGATAGAATCTTAATGATCCCAAAAGGTTTATATTAATGAATGTTTCAAAATGAAACAAGAACACAAATGTGTACAAAATGTCCCCACCTATGGGTGATCCCATCAAATGGTTATCCTAAAAATGAGTAGACAAGACTTTAACGACACAATTTGAGGATGGAAAATCCAATATGGCCACCTTAAAATTTACCCATAATGCCCAAAAATTAGTCAGTTCTAGATTTTCATACTAAGAATCATCCCTGAAAATTTGAAATTGATCTACCAAACGGTTCACCTGGAAATGCGTAGACAAAACTTTACAAACAAGATTTTAGGACAGAAAATCCAAAATGGCTGCCTTGACATTTACCCAGAATGCCCAAAAACTAATCAGATCTAGATTTTCATAGAATCATCCCTGAAAATTTGAAATTGATCTACCTAACGGTTCACCTAAAAACGCGTAGACAAGACTTTACAGGCAAGATTTTAAGCCGGAAAATCCAAAATGGCTGCCTTGACATTTATCCTGAATGCATAAAAACTAATGAGATCTAGATTTTCATACTAAGAATCATCCCTGAAAATTTGAAATTGATCTACCAAACAGTTCACCTGGAAATGTGTAGACAATACTTTACAGACAAGATTTTAGGACAGAAAATCCAAAATGGCTGCCTTGACATTTACCCAGAATGCCCAAAAACTAATCAGATCTAGATTTTCATACTAAGAATCATTCCTGAAAACTTGAAATTGATCTACCAAACGGTTCACCTAAAAACGCGTAGACAAGACTTTACGGGCAAGATTTTAAGACGGAAAATCCAAAATGGCTGCCTTGACATTTATCCAGAATGCATAAAAACTAATGAGATCTAGATTTTCATACTGAGAATCATCCCTGAAAATTTCAAATTGATCTACCAAACGGTTCACCTGGAAATGCGTAGACAAGACTTTACAGACAAGATTTGAGGACGGAAAATCCAAAATGGCTGCCTTGACATTTACCCAGAATGCCCAAAAACTAATCAGATCTAGATTTTATACTGAGAATCATCCCTGAAAATTTGAAATTGATCTACCAAACGGTTCACCTGAAAATGCGTAGACAAGACTTTACTGACAAGATTTTAGGATGGAAAATCCAAAATGGCTGCCTTGACATTTACCCAGAATGCCCAAAAACTAATCAGATCTAGATTTTCATACTAAGAATCATCCCTGAAAATTTGAAATTGATCCACCAAATGGTTCACCTGAAAACGTGTAGACAAGACTTTACACACGAGATTTTAGGACCGAAAAATCCAAAATGGCCGACAATAAAAAAGTGATTATGAGTTTTTGCTAATTTCTTTCAACAAAATTATCACATATAACTACTGTTAACAATAACATAGGCTTTTACAACAAAGTACACCTGAAATTATTTATAAAGCTACTAAATAGTTTAAGTATGAAAACTGAATAACACCATTCAATATGATACAAAGTATTATCGTGCGCTAACTTTTCTTAAAACATTCAAAATGGCTGACATGACTGAGCTTACAGGTCCAAAACCTAATCAGATCTAGAATGAAGTGAGCTGAACAAGATGTTAAAGCAACTGTGAAGCCGTTTTTCTTAAAGTTTGCAGACAAGGATTTTAGCATTTGACTTCAAAATGGCCGACAGGAAGTTGGTATCGAGTTAATTTTTTTTCATCCACATCTGTATGCACTCATAAGTTATCCCTGAAAATTTGAAGGTGATATCTGTAGCGGTTTTGGAGAAAACTCCCGGACGTACGGACAGACGGACAGACAGACGGACGGACGCGCCTAGGCCGACAATATGGCCCCACACTATGTGGTGGGGACATAACAACTGTTGGGAAGGGTATTACATGTATTCCTTCAGGAGCACTGTTAAGTGATGCAACGCTATTCACTGCTATTATGTCATCGTATTTCATTTGTCATGAACATAGATGGAAATATCATACCTTCTGAGATTTTCTGTAATCTGGAGAGCATCTGTGCCAGCTTTTGTTGTCTATCAGCTAGTTCCCCTCGGCCACTGAAGTCAACACGAAACAACGCCATAATTGAATCTACTATCTGAAAATATTGATAGATACTTTACTTTTTTAAGAAATCCTGACTCGCTTTCCAGGATAATTTTTACAAAACAACTTTGCACAAGGCAATAACATGACAAAATGTCACGACCTAGTTGCTCACAATCTTATGAATCTTTTTTACCTTGAGAAGGTCACTAAAGGTCAAATCTATAGTCAGATTTGAACATTGAAACTTGATGATTTTGAAAAAAGAATTTGGTCAATTTGAAGCAAGTTGAAAAAATACCTTTTTGACCTTGAGAAGGTCATTGAAGGTCCTGAAGAGGGTCATTGAAAATCTCAAATCTATAGTCATATTTGAATTTTTGAGAACTTTTGAGAACAAAATGTCACCACCTAGTTGCTCACAATCTTATCAATCTTTTTTTACCTTGAGAAGGTCAATAAAGGTCAAATCTATAGTCAGATTTGAACATTTGAGAACTTGTAGATGATTTTGAAAAAAGAAATTGGTCAAAAAGACCTTTTTAACTTTTTTTACCTCAAAAAGGTCATTGAAGGAAAATCTTAAGTAAGATTTGAACTTCAGAAAACATGTCTGAACAGTATTTGTTAAGCTGTTGGAAATTGTAAGAATTTGCTAAAGATGCCGATCACCAATCACCAACCACCAACTGCCGTCACAAAAAATGGGAGACCATACCAATATGTCACCATTTTTTGGTGGTGACATAAGAAATCCTAATGAAATGAAGATGAACGTCAAAAAGTCAAACTTGTATTAAATAACAACACTTTACAAAAGTGTTTTGCACGCATATTTCTATGTTGTGGCAACCACCTGTAGACCCTGAACATTAATTTGGCATAAACAATTTAAATCTACAGTTATTTGACTGACATAGAGATTCCCCATGTTCAATGATAATGATATAGGGGTTTGTAGTTTGTTTCCAAATGTTGCCACTTGTGCAATGACTGTTTTTTCACTAAATGTAAACTTACCAACAATTTGAAAACTCCCATCTCTTCATGAAACTTAGCAGCTACAAAGTCTAACAGTTCATATTGATGTTCACCTACAATGACGATAGAATATTTCTAAAATTCACTTTTTGTCTATCACAGGTCCACAGTAGGAATAAGCAAACTTGAGTGCACATGTAACTCTCATCCACAATGCTGGGCAGAATTCTTTCAATACCAAACAAGGCATTAACATGCAAAATGTCACCACCTGCCATTTGCTACAGACAGTGACTGCTATGTGGTAGGCAGTAATAGACCGTGAATGCTATACGCCAAATGTCTTGTTAAATGCACATAAAATGGCCCACTCTTTTACAACTATCGATTCTGATGTATGCAGATGTGGTTTAAAACAAACCACAGAGCATTTCCTCTTACACTGTTGCCTCAACAATGATATAAGACGCCAAATGCTTGACAGGCTAAATGGATTATTCAACATGCATGACATAAATTTCTCCTTTAACAATTTGAAACAAGATGATAAAATTGAAACTCTTTTGTATGGAATTGACTTTTTAAATATTGAAACAAATAGAGAAGTTTTGTCTATTACAAGTACCTTTATTAATGAATCTATCAAACTTGTTGAATAAGATCATGCTACCTATTCTTTTCACCTACTCCAACCAAACTACCAACCAACCACCAGCAGCCCGTTTTTGTATTGTCAAAATCTGTTTATTTTTGTATTATTTTATTGTAGTATGTCTATATGTACAGTTGCCAATAATGTTTGCTTCGGCAACTTCTTGAAAAAATCTCTGTAAAAAAAATTACTATGATAATAAAAACAACAACAACAACAACAACCAAATGCCAAACACCAACCACCAAACTCCAGCCACAAAACAGTTGGAGACTAAAACAATACACAATACATGTATATACAATGAAATCTATTTATGAATGTAAGCAACTTACTTGTATATGCTCTGGCATAGAGGACATTGTCAAGCATAGCACTCTGGTCCAAGTTGAATCTATCTGCAATATCTCTCAGTCTGTCTGGACGACTTTATATATGAAGGAAAACCAAAGAAACTAGTAGATTTACTCATATTTCAACAACTACATGTACATGTATGTTTTAAAAAGGGAAACATTTTCTTATTGACCTCAATACTCTGCAAAATCTGTATTCTATCATTTGCTTTCAACAAAAACTAGTTGTTCTTATGTTTTAAATCATATTTTGGTTCCAAATCATTTTGATATGAACAAAGTTGATGAAACAATATAAAATGATTAAAGGATACAATGTGTTTTCTGTATCTATGAAAACAACCTTTCCTCCAGTAAAACCATTAGATCCTGGTAGTTGGGTTGTCACTGAAACAAACAACAAATACCCTATTATTCAACAACAAAAATTCCTAGATTCAGCTTATAGTATTTTACCCCTGTTAATTTTTTTTGATTGCTACTATCTTTTGAGTTTTTGAAGAAAATCCCCAGGATTTATTGATCACGCTCTGATCATTACTAATTTTGTTTAGGAGGAGGGGGATGTTGAGGCATTTTCACGTTGAGAAGTAAATAAATGTACTTATAATGTATCTCCAATGTATCTATAATACTGTATAATACAAAATATTGAAAATAATAGACTCACAATTTACAAATGATAATAAAAATAACAGTCACACAATACAATAATGGTAAAAACCTAAAAATGTTAACAGTAACAGATAACTTGAGATAAGCAAAAACAGCAACATTAGCAACATTGTACTATATGAAGTGATTTAAATGTTAAAATACCACAAAGAGTGTGTGACAACTGAGTCTTTCCAGTCCTGAATTCTCCAAAAGCCTCCGTTATAGACATGCTCTCTACTCCTCCACCCATCAACTTACTACAACCCGTAGGTCACTCTGATTAATTATGTTATAGACATGCTCTCTACTCCTCCACCCATCAACTTACTACAACTCATAGGTCACTCTGATTAAACTGGTAATTTCAAAATGCAATCTTGCACAATCTTTATGCTGATAATACCTCATCAATCTCCTTATTTGGAAGTGTAGGACTCTATGTAGAGCTGGCATCGAACAGGATTTTAATGTCGACATGTCGGAGCTCTCGATCGACAACGATATCGACATTGTTGGGTCAAATGATATTCGAAAAATGAAAAAAATTTTGAAGAAAATCCGTCTGAATTTTAGATTTTCTAGGCTTGTAATTAGCAATACGATGCACAATAGTCATCCTCAGTTGTATGTTTTATATTTAACTTACAGGTAAAACCATGTTCAAGTATCAGACTTTGACGAAAAAGCAATAAATAGACATAAAACTACGATTTCTGTTCTTATTTCAGGGCAGCCATTGAAAATAAATCTCGAGGGTAAATCTCGAGGGGCCCCGAGACCTAATTCGAGAGCAGGTAGTCGATCAAAACAAAAAAGAAAATTTGAAAATGTAGGCGGTAAAACACTAAAATACACCATACAGCAGGTAGTAACAAAGATTTTAATTCATAGGGAAATAGCTTATTATGTTGTGAGTTCCGACTGTCGATCAAGAGGCGTTGTGTCGACATGGGTGTCGCAGAGAGCATTCGACTGACAACCGACCATTCCGACATTTGATGCCAGCTCTAACTCTATGTATTTGCTAGCAAGGCCTATGGACACTATGCAACACATTTGTGCACAATAGAGTGAAATAGCCATTAGAAATCTCAAATGTAGCCTTAATGGGAGTTTACATTATTATTAATGATGAACATTTAAATGCAGAAAATAGTCTTTTGAAGTGTTGTTCTGAATACATAAAGCCTGTTAAATAAAAGGCTCAATCAAAGAATTATCATTTCCTTAAGAGGTGTAAATTAAGTTGAGCTCTTGGGAAGGTTCCTGGATTTGTCAAGATGACTGTACTTACTCTAGCTCTGTGCTGCCAGTTGTGATTCTAAAACATTGTTTTCTCTTGTCTGCATACTCCAAGGCAGTTAGGAATCCACCTGCCTACAAAAAGAGGTTGATGACTACTATAGTAATAGTATAGGGTGTTTCTACCGTACGGTGTCATTAGTAATCTTTTATGCCTATGGACAGTGTTCTCCAATAGGCAATGTTGGGTTATACCATTTCTAATACCAACAACTAAGTAATTATTTTACATGGACACAAATTTTACCACTGTCATAGTCGCAACAAATTTCATTTTTTATGAACATTTTGCATGACCAATGTTGAAAAAATGTGGAGAACCATGCCTATGTGATATAGTTTTACATACCCCAGCCATTTTGGTTGCTGCTTCTTTGATCTTCTCCATCTTTGCCTCTGAGATTCCCTTAATGGCACAAAGCTTCTTCTTGGTTGTCATTTGAATACCCTGGAAGTAAGAAAATTAGGATATATGAGATGTAGTATTATCTCTTGGATTTTTTGGAGGTGAGTGCAAATTTTTCAATTTTACAATTCTGACCAAAACAATGGTCCAATATGTGATATTCTTTTTTCAAGATGGGTGCATTTTCAAGATGGGTGCGAATGGGCTTTTGGATAGTTGCTAGTCTAGTTTTAAAATTTCAAGTCCACTTCCTTTAATGCATGGAAAATCACATGAGGATGAATGCTTGCACGGTTTACCATGACATTAATAGTCTGTGTTCTGTAATTAATCTTAATATATCTTGTGTTGAGTGTGGCAAATCTAAGACAGCAAATATTTGTATTTAGAACTTTTTAATTCTGTGGGCTTTTAAGGTTCAGCTGGAAAGTAACATTTTGGTAAAAAATTGCTATACCTGCACATGTTATTTTCTGGTACATAATTAAGTATGAAGGCATGTGTGTATTTCCTTGCTTTTTTCAGGAAAGTATCATTACACTGTCTACTTTTCATTCTGATTTATCAGAGTCCCTCTTTACCTAACGCTTTTGAGAGACTCTGATATATCGTGAAGCAGAACATGTTCCTAGCCAGTGCATTCTCCAAGTAAATCAGTGTATATGGAGGAATAAATTAGTGCCTAAGAATGCACCGTTCTGTTTTCCCCTTTGTAAACTTTAATTCAATGAATTCATTATGTGGAAAACTTTTATTTATCTTGATGGTTCTTGTTTTTATATTGAAAATTAATAACTATGATAATGTTGACATACTTCTTTTTTCTTATTATTTTCAAATTTAGAATTTAGATTATTTGGGAGGGAATTGTGTTTGGTCACACTCATTAGGCTTTGTCTGATTATGTAATCATGCAACTGCAGGTAATGCCTTCCCATGATACTCATGGTCAATAGAACTCTGTAAATAATTTGATTGGTCCGTACATTTTAGGGTTAAAGGAAACATTTATTACAGTCAGTATCCCACAGTCTGAACTATTCCAAAAGGATAGTAAAGGCTGTGGATCCCACAATGTCTACTTTTAGTAAACCTGGAAACAGGTCAATGGTAGCTCCTGTGTTGTCTGGAAACTTTGAAAGAAAATTTGGAAAAACAGGAAGTGTGAAATATCAGAATTCCCTGGAGTTCCCTTTTAACGCCTACCAGATATTCTAAAAGAAGACAATGTAATGATACTTTCCTGAAAAAAGCAAGGAAATTGATACATGCCTTCATACTTTATTTTGTACCAGAAAATAACATGTGCAGGTATAGCAATTTTTTACCAAAATGTTACTTTTCAGCTGCACCTTAAAAATAGGTCAAGTTACAAAAGTACATTACATTGCAGAAGGGCAAATTACTTATTATTCATGGAAAAGTATAATTCATTTAATATGACAGAAAAGTGGGCGATTCCAGAGGTAAAACTGTAAGCTAATAATTAGTATCATATGTAGACCATGGGACGATTGAATAAAGGAGATTTTATGAAACATTAACACATGTATTTTGTGTACATATATTTTACCCTATGCAACTAGTATATCAACACAGTATACAATAATGAATTTAAGAAGTTCAAGTTCAATTCATACCTTTACAGTGCAGATACCTGCTTGCTTTAACTTCTTCAAATCTGCTGCATTCTACAAAGCAAAGTTGTTATTGTTGTTTTTGTAAGTTGATACATGTATTAACTCCAGCCCCATCATCTGCATCTTCTGTATAAGCATTATGTCTCTTCCCCAATGCCTCTTTATTCTCATTATTCAACAGTAATGAATGATGATGATGCAAGATATATTACTTTGTATTTGTATAAAATTGTTTTCTCATACAACTGTCTTAGATTCAACCATCTTTATTCATAATACTCAATACTCATGCAGTACCAAGTTCAACTGTTTATTAACTTTTTGGTGACTACTGTACTTGTTGATTTTATACATCATGTACAGTACTGTACCCTGTTACTTAGTTCTGATATAAAAGAAACACACCATAACCCATAGGAGAAGAACATTGTGCAATATTTGATTATCTTGCACAGGTAAGAACATCTGTGTATAAGTCTTCACTTACTATGCCTTGATTCTGCAATGTGTCTATATCTTGGAAAAATGATTCCTACAAAAATATGAAAACGAAGCATAGGGTAAGTCACATACAGTTTAGTTAAAAAAGTTTAAAGTATACGAGTTACATTAAAACAATTAAAATATACAAAATATATAAAAAATATATAAAAGGAGTAAAAGAGTATGTCCACGTCAAGCTGTTTACATGTAGATTTTATGCATTGCACGATAAGTTAAGGGAGGCCAGGCATTTTGGATTCAATACTTTTCATCATGAAGTGTGCAAAACTGATAGGGCTTTTTCCCTTGTTATTTATGTTGTTGCTTTACTCTTTCCGATCTCCCCCTTCCTTCTCCTCTATTTCTCCTTACCTCCTCATCCTCCGACTCCACCTCATCCCCTTGGGCAACCACTTGGTCCTCCATTTCAGTCATTTCCTGAAATACATCACAACATTTAAGATGGTACATGTAGTTTATTTTTAATAACTGGCTAAAGCAAACAAAAGGCTACCTGTAATGCTGCAATAGAAAACTGAATTGTTCTCCAGCACTCAAGGTCATTTTGAAATCAATAAATTTTATTCTACTATATCACTGCTGGTGTCCCAAGAAAATGTCACGGTTTTTTGCAAGTACTTTCTCAGCAATTAATGAATCAAATTAATTGAAATTCTCCAAAAGTAGCCTAAGGAATATATGAAAGAGATCAGTTGCATATTATGTGAGAACTGCATGAAAAACAATATCAGAGCTGCGCAATGAGACCTCAATAGCGTTTGTGCTGCTATCAGGTAAGTGAATCTGTCAATCTGTTTTAGTCTCAAAAACAAGTTTGTCTGTTGGTCAGTGTTATTTTTATTTATTTCATTGTTCTCTGCTTTCAAAACACATTCTGTTTAAATTTTCAGTCATAAGCGATAGGGCTATTGAAAAATAATTCAGTAATCAATGCCATAGAACTTCTCAATTCTTCAAGCCACATCAACATACATGTAGGCCTGGGAACATGTAAAAAAGATTCAAGCCACATCAACGTAAGCCTGGGGTCGAGTCAACAAGTAAAGAGGTGTATTCAATCTTTTTTATACATGTTTCCAGGCCTATGCACATCAAGGATCGGCCAGTTCATAGGCCTGGGTAACCAAACCTGTTTGACCAAAGCAGTTTGGTTCAGTTCAGTTATTCTACTCGATGAAGTCGTAGATCTGGACTGGAGTAAGTTAAATACACCTGTTTTTCTATTGGTGCTTCTTTGACGTCCTAGTCTACAACGTCAGGAGAAGTAAGCTAAGCCTATGTCTATGTCTATGTCAATAATCTGAAAAAGCCTAATAAGCCCATATAAAGCAGATATATAATTTAACAGTGATATAATTTGAATAGAATATAATTTAAAACCTTAACATTTAAAAATAGATCTATGGTTGAACCATTCACAACTCATTTTACAATTGAAAGGAACCTTCCCGGTTGGCCCCTTGAAAAGATTCAAGCCACATCAACATAAGCCTGGGGTCGAGTCAACAAGTAAAGAGGTGTATTCAATCTTTTTTATACATGTTTCCAGGCCTATGCACATCAAGGATCGGCCAGTTCATAGGCCTGGGTAACCAAACCTGTTTGACCAAAGCAGTTTGGTTCAGTTCAGTTATTCTACTCGATGAAGTCGTAGATCTGGACTGGAGTAAGTTAAATACACCTGTTTTTCTATTGGTGCTTCTTTGACGTCCTAGTCTACAACGTCAGGAGAAGTAAGCTAAGCCTATGTCTATGTCAATAATCTGAAAAAGCCTAATAAGCCCATATAAAGCAGATATATAATTTAACAGTGATATAATTTGAATAGAATATAATTTAAAACCTTAACATTTAAAAATAGATCTATGGTTGAACCATTCACAACTCATTTTACAATTGAAAGGAACCTTCCCGGTTGGCCCCTGTACCCCCTAGGAAGTCCCTTTATGTTGAAATACCCTGGGGCAACTGTCAGGCTACCGCGTTGACATCACCCCTCTTTACCAGTAGTGCAGGCTTGTTGCTCTGCACTGGGGACCTTTTACATTAAAACATAGATCTGTATATTAAAAACACACCTATTTAATTGCAGTTATTGACATAGGCATAGTATGATGATTTAAAACTACTTAGACTGTCACAGTCTAAAATGTCACCAGGTAGAGTGTTCCATTTAGCTATTGTCCTAGTGAAATAGCTAAATTTGTATGCATCCGTTCTAGTTGATGGTTGTATGAACTTAGAAGGATGATACAACCTAGTGTTGGTATTGATATGTTGGCGGAAGTATGGAGGCACGTCGATGGCTGCTAGGTTCTGCTTTCCTTTGTAGAAAAGGAAAACTCTAGCAGCCTCTCGACGCTCCTTCAGTGGCTCCCACTGTAGGTCTTGAAGAGCTTTGGTGATGCAGCCTGGTTCCCTCGAGTGACATTTGGTTACAAACCTGGCTGCTCTTCTCTGTACCTGTTCCAACATATCAATATATTTTTGTCTGTATGGATCCCATGCCGAGCTGGCATACTCTAAATTAGCCCGGACTAGAGACTTATACGCCCGAGGAATCCAAGCACCTTATTGGCTTTGGATACACTAGGCTATAGACTAAGAAATTCTCCATCTAAAATGTCACTCGACTTTTTGGCAATTAAAAGTCCCTGCCTGCATTTAGTAGTCATATATTGTCATGTGCATAATTTTGAAACCATATCCTAATTATTTCACAAACCCTTTGTTGATTCTGCCATAGTTTCCAATTTGTAAACAGCATTTAGCCTTTTTAATTGGGAACTTTTTTGAAATTTCCAAAATGGCTGCCATGTGATTCCAGAATTAACATGAGTGTGACGTGACATCACAGTTGCTCGTTCCTAGGTAACAACAAGATCACAATTGCTCGTTTCTAGATAGCAACAAGATTTTTGATAAAATGGCACAGAATTACCCTGATTAACACCCTTAAAATCCGATTTTCAAAGAATATATTTGGAGAAACAATAAAAGGTAAGTGGAATAAATTAGAAGATGGTTTCAAGTTACCACAGAAGTCAATTTGATACTCAAGAATGCTTTCTTTGACTCATAATCACAAAAAAGTCGAGTGACATTTTAGATGGAGAATTTCTTAGTTTGAATATGTGTAGTCCAGCGTAAGTTAAGCCAGTAGCCAATAGAAAAAGACTAGCATGCTAATAGTATGCATTACTTATCGCTAAACCTATGGGATCCCGGATGGATGGTGCTGACTGTGAAACTGTGAGCTGAGCTTGATGCCTAGCCAAAGACTACTTTCACTTTCGCTTTTGATTGATCAATTTTTCAAAATTATTTAAAATCCAATGAAACTTCAAAGTGTACTTTGAAACAATCTAGCTGAAATATAAGATAACATTAGTTGAATAATAAACTTAACAATAGTTTGAGCAAGTTCTTTACCTAATCTAACCTGTTATTGTTCCAAAATGTTCACAATATGTGAGAAACCGTTCCGAATTCTTCGTCTGCGGAAGTTTGGTGTCAGAGGTCATGACCTATCCTTGTAAACGAGGCTACGAAAATCCCACGTGCGAATTTGATACCTCAGTGAAGCGTAGATCGCAGAGAGGACACATTTTCTCTAATTTACGCAATAATCTCCACATCAGACAAACAACAATGGTAAGTTCAACATTCAGGAACTAGTTCTGATCAAGCTTTTCTTTTATTATTCAAATAATTTACTTGTAAAACGAATCTAAATGCAAACCGGAAGTTATTTTTTCAAAACAAAAATGACAAAAATCTGAAAAATTCAAGATCTAGACTAGAAATTAGAAAATTAAGATCGGTATTTCTTGGTTGAATGTTTATTTTTGAAATTTGTGACCTGTATATTGGAACTACGCTTTGAACACTTGGTTTTGGATCAAATATCGTTATCTGATGGAATCAATAGAGTCCCATATGGGGTTGATTTTTCAGGTAATCTGACCAGATGCAGTATGTTAATAATCCCATAAACGGAGTTCGGAGGGATATAGAGAACGCCTCCATCCGTCCCTCCGGGCAATAATTCAAATACCGTTGGCCTGATTTTGTTCATATTTTGTACATATATACAGGTATGGAGGTAGAAATTCTGCTCGAAAGCTTATTTTCAGAATGGCTGCTCTTATCCCGTACCAGGACTATAGTCCTGTAACGAGCGCATTCTTTTGTTGGGAGAATTATCAATTATCTACGCCCCTTACACTTAAGATACCTACTTCAATAGATTCCTGGATATTTTAGCATTCTTTTCCTGTAGTTGAATCCACAATTGTTTGGGTATATCGGCAGAATGTGAACATTTTTTTTTTCATCGAGAGATATTCCATCACTTTCCAAGATGGCGGTTGAATTTAAAAGGGGATTCCCCTTTTGACTGACCCGGAAGTGGCCCGGATGTACCAATAAATGGAAGAATTTGACGGTTGAAATAAGTTCAATATTACACGCAAATATTGCGATCAAAAACGAAAATTTCTTTGTTCTGCCGATAAACCCAGACAATTGTGGATTTAACTACACGAAAAGAATGCTAAAATACCAAGGAATCTATTGAAATAGGTATCTTAAGTGTAAGAAGCGTAGAAAATTCTCCCATGTTGTAATCGTACAGGCAAAAAATATAAACCCAGTAACCTTCAGTGACCTCGGGGCGCCATTTTGGAAATCTGTTCAAATTCGCTATATTTCGTCAGTTTTGGCAGCTTGTTCTGAACTGGTAAAATGGAGAAAATTTTTAGTAACAACCAATAAACTAGAAGCGAGTAGAAATAATCTGATTTACGTCATTAAATGCTCAAAATTCAGTCATATTTGAAATCTACATGTAAAAGTACATCCAGCAATATGGTTTTGTTTTGAAAATTGTTTGTCAACTTTCAAAATTTAATAATTTTTGAAAATGTGACTTCTAGTTCGGGTTGATTCCCCATAGACCCCATGTTACAAAATCACTAATAGTGAAATATCTTTTCTTGTATTGGACAGATAACATTTTTTTATTGGATATATTTTGATTTGCATAACTATTAGATACATAAGAGTTATATGAAAATTTAATCACTAAAATAGATGTACAGTAATTTAAGTTAAAGGGAACTTTCTACTGCACTGTATACCCACCATGCTATCTGACCCAAACGAGCCACTTGGTGGTGAAATTGGTCACTACCTCCTCGCATCTGCATTATCTAGATGGAGATATGAACTCACATTCTAGACAGAGATGTTTAATGTTACTCTTATTCTGAAATAGCAAGCAAGTTAAGCACATTTGTCGAAATTAATGAATATTGTAAATTGCTTTAATATGACAGCCAGTTTAATTTGGAGGATTTGACAAATGAACAGTCAAATTAAGTCTCTGCCAATTGTTGGGGAAAAAAATTCAAGGGGATTTCCAGTAAATTCCTTTTCAATATGTTACCTTGCATGCAGATTAATGTCAGTGTGAAGTGAGTAATTGTCAATCCACCAAATTAAATAGCCACTAAAATTTCAAAATTTCCCCAATCTACCAAATTAAAGCAATTTACAGTATATCACTCATCCTAGTATTCTGTGATTCCGCGTCGCCGCAGAAAAACCGCAGAAATTTGCATTTTCAAATTTTTTGCAGAATTTTTGTTTTGGCACGGAATTTCGCGGAAAACATGATTTTTCCAGTTGACCAACTCATCTCATATTTGTCACTCACCTAAACACCCAAAGACTCCGCTCGTTTGTTGTTAGATACTTGTGTTTTGTCAGATTTTCAAGAGGAAATCTGAAATCTGTTTTAAATTCTCGAACTTCCGCCTTTGCACTTAGAGGTAAGACTGCGTCTAACATAATCACGAAATTTGAAACCAATGACAGTCCCTCGTAATTGTTTTGCAATAATATGTCTAATATTGTATTCTATTGTATTCTAACGCAAATAATCATGCTTCTTCTTGCGTTTTACTTCGTCATATATAAATAGACAACATCTGAATTCCCTGCATATTGATCTGTAATTGCGTAAAAGTTCGAATTTCGTGATAGTTCACAAGTGAGCATTTGGTAAGTTTTGTCGCTAATTACATTGCATCTGGTGTTATTACTGCAGTTGTCCATTATCGCCGAATAAAGCAGCATGAGTGAAGTTCAAGAATTGTTTATTTTTGGAGAAAATTATTGATTTTAGCAAGAATTTCACTTTTTGCACATACTTTTACCACAAAATTTCACTTTTCCCCGTGCAGAATTTGGCTTTTTCATGCAGAAATTCTGCGCAGAATTAGCATTTTTCTCATGCAGAAAACTAGGATGTGTGATATTAGTGGCTTCATAGTTCACACAAACAAATTATTCTGATTGTTTTTGTAGACTGAAGAAGTAAACCCCAAAGCTTATCCTCTGGCTGACCCACAGTTGACCCAGAAAGTGCTTGATATTCTGCAACAGGCTGCTAACTACAAACAGCTCAAGAAAGGTGCAAATGAAGGTAAAGAGGATTTATGGTGGTCAATCACTGGTTGAATAAAGTGTGGTCAGTGTGCTAAAAATAAGGTCGCCAAACATCAAAATGCAAAATCATAACATGTTGCAGATGTTGGCCAGAAAGAGTAATAGAGCTTGATCTGATCTGTTATATTCTACGTAAACCATGTTAGACAATGCTAAAAATTCACATTTATCATGCAGTATAAAACTAATATGTCTGACATTCTCAACTTCATCAATACATGCTATCAGAAAAGAATCAATGAAGCCTTTTAAGTACCTAATTTTCCAAACTAGTGTCAAACAAACTTCTCAAAGTAATTTATGTATTTTATTGTATTTTATACCCCCTTATTTAAACAGTGTAGTATTGTAGTAGTTTGTTTTATCATCTCATATTGTAGATTTTAGCTATACCCATGTACATTGTATTTGTGGTAATGCAATAAACAAATAAATTATATTCTAAATGACCTACCTTAATTGGAATGTAATTCAATTATTCCACAGCATAGGTGAATTTAAGCAAAAAGTTAATGCACATGTTTTGATGGAGAAAGGGGTTTGGATGAAAATATCAAAGTTTTTGTTTGCAGAAGATGTATTTTTCTCTCGAGTGTTTTTATTTTGAATTATCCAATCATCTAGCTAGGAATATTATCCAAGTTAAGTAAGAGACATGTTGTGGACAATGTTTATAAAAAAATATTATTGGTGCAGTATGAGAACAAATTCACATATCTGAAAATTGGCAGGTTTTAGCTTCTTTCTTTCAGAGGTTTGCTGAAATATTTACTTGCACATGGGAAGGGGCGATAATGGAAAGGGGCAACACGGGAAAGGGGTGAAATGGCAAAGGGGCGAAATGAGAAAGGGGCGAAATGGGGAAGGGGCGAAATGCGAAGGGGGAAAATGGGATGGGGCGAAATGGGAATAAACCCATGTAAACACTCTAACAGTATGTACATATTTGTTTTCTTTTTAGCCACCAAGACTCTGAATCGTGGAATCTCTGAGTTTATAGTAATGGCTGCAGATGCTGAACCCCTGGAGATTCTACTGCATCTACCTCTCCTATGTGAAGATAAGAATGTTCCCTATGTGTTCGTTAGGTCCAAGCAAGGTAGGTTTGTTAGTGAATTTGTGAATAAAGGATGTTTCAAGATTCTTAGTCAAACCACATCTAAGCTCAAAGTTTTTTGTAAAGCCCAATGGAGATTAGCTTGCATTGCACATTCAGTTTGATATTCAATTTTTGTTTATAAATAAAATGGCCATAAATAGGGGTTTCACTAGAATTTCTCACAACAGGCTAAATAAATGAAAACAACAGGTAAAACTAATGGAAATCATCAATTTAACGTGGAAAAGTTCCTTAAAACAACCTGCGATTTTGTGAAGACTGGTGAAAATCTGAATCTGGTAATGAAACCCCTGATGAATATAATTCATTTTATAGCACTTTTTTATTGCACTATCAGTCTTTGCTGGTAGGTGGGCTTGCGTTACGTAAATCTTTTCATCAGATATTAACCACTTACCTGTTAAAATTTTTACAGATGCAAAACCAGAAAAGTGCTCAGATCTGATGTGATTTGAGGCATGCTAGTAAATTACTCGGCAGCTATTTTCAATTAAAAAGTGTGATATTTATCACTGAGTGTCTTGTTTGACTATTTGTTTAAAACCTGGAAGATGAAAAGTTTATTCCATTTTTCTTTTAGCTCTTGGTCGTGCATGTGGAGTACAGCGTCCAGTTATCGCATGTTCTGTCGAGACTAAAGAGGGATCTCAACTGAAGCAACAGATCATCACAATACAAAACAGCATTGAGAAATTGCTCATTTAGATTCTAGACAAAGACAGAATGACATTTGGCGCAGAATGTCTTCAGAGTGAATGCAAATCGCATCCTTAAAATGCAAATGTACTCGTATAAGAGAGTGAACTGATTATTTTCAGTTTCAGTGAATTTTATGATTTCACTTGTATAAATGAAGTCATTTTTTGAAAATTGATGATTACATCAAAGAACATTCACTTTTCATTTACCATTCTACATTGCCATTACATTACTCTATAGAATTGTCATATTTCTATATTTTATAACATTGTAATGTACATATATTATTTAGAAATAATCAATGTAAACTTCTTTTAGTAGAGAAACTTTATAGTCTTGTTATGTTAACATATTAAATATATTTCACCAGCATGAAGCAAATATAAGCTGCCACCACAATGAAGCAAATGAACAGAACGAATAAAGTCACCACAATGGCAATTATATAAGTCACCACCATGAAGCAAATATAAGCTGTCATCACAATGAAGCACATATATTAAACAAATAAAGTCACCGCAATGGCAATTATATAAGTCATCATAATGAGGCAAATATAAGTCACCACAATAAAGCAAATAAACACAACGAATAAAGTCACCGCAATGGCAATTATATAAGTCATCACAATGAGGCAAATATAAGTCACCACCATAAAGCAAATATAAGCTGTCACCACAATGAAGCACATATATGAAACAAATAAAGCTTCAATATGTCATCAAAATAGCAATTTATATATGTCACTATTATGAGACAAATATAAGCCACCACCATGTATTGTAAATTTCCACCATGAAAGTATCCACATTAAAATAATTATCCGTCACCACAATGAATATAATTCACAAATAATTTTGCCATTATAGACAGATATAAGTGATCCTCATGAAGTAAATGTAAGACGTCCTCATTAAGTAAATATAAGTCATCCTCATGAAGTATATGTAAGACGTCCTCATTAAGTAAATATAACCCCCCAGGCCCTATCACACCAAACTAGTTCTTACCCGTTCTTGCCAGTCCTACGAAAACGTCGTAAAACATGCTCAATCTGGCTGTGGTCGGGAAATATGTCTAAAATAATTAGCTACTTCGTTCATAAACAGTCTTCAATACGTCCATCTTATTCACAGTTCGTTCAGGTCGCACCACGTCGGTGTGCAACATCGTACAACGCGTCCCTTAGTCTAGAAGGTCATCATGACCTGATTACAGAACGGTATGGTCGCTATCGAATTTTGAATCGATTCTAAATCACATTCCCCGTCCGGGAAAGTCCATGAAGTTCGTAAACAGACCGTAGAACGTTGTAGCTACGTTCATTCAGTTCACACACTGTTTAAAACCGATTCGGCAACGTTTTGACGATCACCAGAAAATTTTGAGCATGCTTTAACTTCTGGAGGGCCTACTCGTTCTAGTAGTTTCATGAAGTTTGTAAACAGATCCCAAACGGTTCTAGTGGGTTCTTATTACGTCAAATCCGTTCATGCACAGTTTAAGCCCGTTTTCGAGAACGTAGTGAGAACTAGTTTGGTGTGATAGTAGGGTTAGTCTTTACCATGAAGCAAATATAAGTCATCCTCATGAAGTAAATGTAAGACGTCCTCATGAAGTAAATGTAAGACGTCCTCGTGAAGTAAATGTAAGACGTCCTCATGAAGTAAATATAAGACACAGTTTAAGCCCGTTTTCGAGAACGTAGTGAGAACTAGTTTGGTGTGATAGTAGGGTTAGTCTTTACCATGAAGCAAATATAAGCCATCCTCATGAAGTAAATGTAAGACGTCCTCATGAAGTAAATGTAAGACGTCCTCGTGAAGTAAATATAAGACATCCTCATGAAGCAAATATAAGTCATCCTCATGAAGCAAATGTAAGACGTCCTCATGAAGTAAATATAAGTCATCCTTATGAAGCAAATGTAGGTCACCACCATAAAGCATCCAATGAAGCAAATAATATCGACATTATGAAGGAAATATATGTCCCGTGGTTTCAAAAGAAGTCATATGAAGCCATTCAGAGTGAAAACTATTTGCCCATTTTACTGACTGGGATTACCTGACAATGGTTCTATGTTTTAGAAAGGGCCCATATTGATCAATGTAAACAGTGTTCATTTGGTTGAGATTAAGTGTGCAGTTGGCAGTTACTTAACATAATATTTCAATGCAAAAATACAAAATATTGGACAATAATTCACAATTAGTTTACATAGTGACATTTCTGAAGTCTCAATTTATCTGAGGAAGTCCCAGTTTATAAAATGTTAATTTGAGCTAGATTGAATTGAATTGCCATCTTTACAATTTGAATGTTTAACATGTAAAATCACAATGTACAGATCAGAGTCCAATGTAGAGCACAATGTAAATACTTAATACTTTAACACGCTGTGAATGTACATATCTCATATTATAAACGCCACATTGATAGTAAAGAGCCATATATGTTGGTAAAGAAACAACTTAAACACCTGACTGCATCTGATCGCACTGATAGTGGCTGTAGGAGAAAATGTCACAACATGGGAGTACTTTAAGTCTGGCTCAGTAAGTAGACTATCATCAGGAGTGTTCATGATTCATGAAGCTCCTCTTTAAGTAAAGATTATGAATGAAATTCTTAAAATGGCATTAATTAAAGTGTGATAAACTTGAAAAAACAGGTTTACCGAAGATTTCATTACAGATTAAGTCAATTGAATCCTAAGAATGGTGTACACAGTCTTAAACTCAGAATGTCAGGGTTTCTAATTTGAATGGCATCTTCCATGGAAAACAATAGGTTTTAATATATGATTGATACATGACATAAAACGATACAAATATGTTTCAGGCGGTACCACTATGATGTATCAATGAAAGGAGATGGCAGTGAGGCATATGTTATTCTACCAGGTCTCTCATACTACGACTTCGATAGAACAGGTAAGAGAACAAAAATCGTCCAGACTCTGACAGAAATATGACAATCCTGAGAAACAAAGTTGTGCGCTGGTGTGAATGAAGTTTGTGTCCGAGCTTTAAATTTAAACACGTTCCACCTGTCCAATTTGCCCCCTGCTCCTTTTAGATAGATAACATGTAGATGGCAGCTTGCAATTCGTTTATTCAGTGAAAATAGCCTTATGCACTATTAATGTTTATTATTGCAAATGATATTGATATGATCACAAAGACTGAAAGAAAGTGCACGATGATGACTATTAGTATTTGATTTTGTTTCAGGAAATCCGAATATCTGGAAGTTACAAAAACTCTTATCATTAGCTCGTGGTATCGTATACCACGACACCACTAACTCTACTGGCAAGCCATACGTAGAATACAATGAAATGATCAAAGACAGATTCACTTTCATGGCCTCCGCTGAAATCGAACTTTCAGACGAATTTTACAAAATGGCAGGTTCAGTCCAAGTTCCTTTATCTGTTCACGTCAATCTGGGATACATCGGCAACTCGTCGATTCTTAGCATGGCTAATGCATATCACGGTGTCAACAATGGTTGGTTGATTAAAAGTAAAAACACAATTGTGACAGTTGACCCCGAAACTCGACGTCCAAAGCCTCTTCCTTCTTGGTGGAAAGAGAAATACAGGCCGATATGCTCAGAAAGTGGTCCATTTAAAAAAGAGAAAATCCTCAAAGCGACGAACTGTTATAGGTACGAAACGAAAGTCAGATGGAGTGATACGGATCGTTACAAACACACTAATCAAGCATCATATATCTACTTCTGCCTAGATGCTGCCACTGATGCAAGTTTGTCGAATTTCTATGAGAACATTCAAGGAGATTTTTGCAAATACCACATCAAAAAGATCACTATGGGTTACCACGGGGAAAGTGTTGCCAACGATACTGTAGTCATAGAAACGTGGCAAATGGAAGATAAAGATACAGTACATTTTCAAATATCGAAAAAAGGAATAGAAAATGTAATATTTCAGTGTACCATTGTGCTTTCTATAAGTAATAACTAGTACACTTATATCAATAACCATACCCAATTATTTTAAGAGATGGCACAAGAAAGAAACACGAACGTAATTTTACTCCCTTTTCCTACTGGTAAACAACCCCCTGACCCCCCCCTGCTATTGCTATTTATTGTATAGGAGTCTAAGAAAAGGAAGGTTTAACAAATACAGAATTTGTTGTTTGACGCGTATACAAACAAACGTATCGCCATATGATAACATGAGGTATAACACTTTTCAAAAATGATTTTGTTCCACCGGTGTCTTAAGTTACTCGAATCTTCTGGATACATTCGATATTATTTTTATATCCTAAACACGAGAAAAAATGTCCTGTATCCAGGTTTCTACAGAAGTGACTGCTGAAATTAAACTAATCAAACCACTTATAATGTGGCTGCCTCGTATACAAAAGGCTTTCATTTTATTCATAAAAACTAACAGGGTACCCATTGGGAATGTAAAATCCCCGGTTGTTCGACTTTTGCACCATGGCATCTCCTGAGCAATAGAATATTTAGACAGAACATATCAATATATTTAGGCTGGGTCTAAATTTCAGGAATATACGTCATTTTTGAAAAATTGGCCTCGATTTTAAAAAAATGGGTCCATATTTTTAAAAATTGGGTCAAAACTTTCAACAAGCCAACATTTTAGGACTCTTTTTTCATCCTAGCATTTTTATCTATTTTTGCATACTAGCATTTTTCAGCAAAATGTTATATTTTGAACCCTCTCTTGTGAATTATAAGATATGATAAATTAAACGATCTCGGAACACTTGTGTTGTCAGAACAGTTGGGCAAGAGTCGGAACACTTGGGTAGTCCAGAACAGTTGGGCTTTCACATACGTACGTGTTCTGTTTTTCTGATTTCTGCCTTAGAAAATTCAAAATGGCAGCCTAGGAGTCTAGATTGCTCTAGGTAACCCGGAACACTTGGAGCTTCACATACGTACTATTCCGGCACAGGGTGGATTAAGGTGATACAATCAAGTCTCGCATGCCTATCCAAAAGCAAGGAAAGTGCGATACATTCATTTTTGATCATCGCTTTATTTGTAAAAGTTAGACTATTGTTTGATTCCTCACTTTAAGACAATTGAGTTTCCGGCAAGATGGTAACATAATTTGTGAGTACAGTAAAACCTGTATATCTGAACACCTGGCTAATCCGAACACCTTCCAATTTGAACACTTTTTTCGGTCCCATTTTTTCCTCCCATTGACTCCCATGTTAAAAAAGCTTGAAATCTGAACACCTGCTAATCTGAACAGTGAACAACCAAATTTGAAAAACTGATCTGTCTAATCTGAACATTTTTATCAGAAATCAAATGTCTGGACATTTCAATAAAAGTCAGATATTGAGTCAATGTTATAGTTGTTATTTATCTTTACATATACAAAGATGTAATCAAAGAACCAATATTGTCCTAATTAACTTATTTAACTCTCGGAGACATCCCTAATTGTGGAAAACAACAGGATGTTTTGGAAAGGATTGAATACAGGTGTTAATTGGTTTATCTTATTAGAAAAGAACTGAATGTTTTATGTTTGGATTAAGTGAAAGGTGTGAATCAATAAGATAATTGATTTATAATTATTGGAAATTAACTGGATGTTTTTGATTTGGATTATGAACAGGTCTTAACTGTTTTATATCCCATGGGTCTGTTATAACTAAGATTCAATCATTAAATGTTTTATAATCACAAAGACAACACAGACAGATTTGCAGACAAGATCGTATTACGAGAAAGAGAAAAAGTTCAACTCCTAAAAAGTACAGTTTTGAATGAAACCCCCTCTCCCCAGACCAACAAAAACCTCTAAATTTGAACACCTGCCAATTTGAACGCTTTTGGCTGGTCCCATGGGCGTTCGGATTAGACAGGTTTTACTGTAGTTAGAAAGAACTAAGGATGTATAGTCGTATGTTTCTCAGGAGGAAGATGTCCCACTTCACGATAGGTCCAAGAAACGTTTACGTGTTTGCCTACTTGTAATATTGGAATATATATAAATGACAATAGAATCTTCAAAATTGTGATAATGGATCATATGATTATGATAATGAAAAGTATATATTGTGTATTTCAGCTTCAGTAGTGCTGACTAAACGTTCACTGAACTATCAATCGCACTTTCCTGTATTGTGGTATTTTTTACTTTTGAATAATACAAAATTCAAATGGAAAAATGATTTGTTTTATATTTGTTTCTTTTTTCACCTCCCATCCCCAAGACTTTGCCCCTCGTCGGGACGTTTATCATATAGATTATCGTTCGAGTTTGAACAGGGTTATAATATTCCAGATACTTCAATAATTCTTTCAGAAAATAAATTATTAGTGAAAGGAAAATATAACCATGATTTTTGAAATAGTAGTAGCCTCCAAGATCTTGCGCTATTTATCTCTATTTATGACCTCAACAGTGACAAGAATAACAGACCTTAATAATAGACAATTGGAAATACTTTATATAGAAATAATCAAAATGATAACATAAGTCTTCAAACTCAGTGGACCCTCTCTTTCTATTATGCAGGAAATCCGAATTGTGCCACATCTTGCAAAATAATGTAGTCTGTTAGTCAGTTAATTAAATATTCGTCTACTATTATTGGAAACTGCCATTTTGACCAGCTTTAAATAAATTAGCACTTAGTATCAGAACTTACAATAAAAATTATAAAATATTAATCTTTAACTTTCAGTCATACCCAGGTTAAATATTATTTTAATCTCACGTTATCTATCAATCTAGTTGAGCTTTGAACTTTTTATCTGTACAATGTAAATAAATTGATGCTTACTAAGAGAACAGGTTCAGATAAAACAATGGCTGACATCTTCATTTGAACAAAACACACATATTGAAAAATGTTATTTATTTACCAAAATTATATAAATATATAATATTTGAAATAGCTATATTACAGTATTACACACGAAATAAAAATGTTTCAAGTTGATGAAAGTTGTCTATATATATTTGGAATGATCTTTTTCAAAAAAATTACAATTACATGTATTGAATGGGTGATTAGCCTAAGGAAATGATTTTTAAGTCTTGGAATGTTAAGGAATACAAAACATTTCTGGCTACACTTTATACATGGACTACTATCAAAATAGCTACAGCTGACTTACTAAAACCTAGATGCAGTGTATAAGTAAATATATATTGACCTCTGCTTAAAAACGTGAATAATACATATATTTACAAAGCATTTTCAAGACAAAATGAAACAAAAAGTTTTCAAACATTGAAAATTTGGAAATCAGTTTTCACTCATTTATAAAATACCAATATCCTAGGCAATGTATGATCCAATGGAAACTCCATTGCTAGTTACTTTAAAAATGGCTCCAAAGTTTCAAATTATTGAAACTTTACACTTTCATGATTTCAAACGTAGCCCATGATCAGAAAAATATACAGTCGTGGTTCTGATTCATTTTAATAATATTGTAATATGTGAAAACGCACAACTCAGAATTGTGGGTGATTTTTTCACTCAGTTGTTAACATTTTAATCTGTCAGTGTTATAAATCACCAATAACCTGACTCATTAGGTCATATGCTTAAATCCTTAAGGAATGTACATGTTCTACATCTTATTTGTGTTGAATTGGAGTAGACTGTTGCCTGCTTTTAGCCTTTTGTTTCATGTAGTGATGGTTCTAATGGTACTAAACCATCAAAGGAGTGCAGAGGGTGAGCAAGTACTTTATCTAGAACCCAGTGTCCGCAATATTTTCCCTAGAAGGGGCTGCATGTTGAGAAGCATTATACATAGGAATCTTCTTCTTGTTAAATTTGTCTTTACATATGAGAACGAATCCAATGGCCATGACGGCTACAATCAGCACAAAACTGGGAATGGTCATACTGACAATAGCTTCAGTTCTAGTTGCCATCTTCTTGGCGACGATTTCCCATGGACGTGAGGGGTTATAGTAGCATGTGAATTTTTCTCCCATCTTGTTCAACCATTGGGTCTGCAGAGACCGTATCTCACGTTCATTGTCATATTCATACCGCCTGCATATGTTGTATGAACACTGGAAATAAATAGAGAATAATTCATAAGCTTTAATCAGTTAATTTCAAATGAGATTTCGTTCTTGTAAAATAAAAATTGACTCAACCCATCAGACTACTTATTTACTGTTCATTTTAACTTGAGAAATAAGTTCACTGTTCCCAATTTTCTTAATTATATAATTACCAATAATTCATGGAATAGTAGTATCACAGTCCTTACTTGTTGGTAATATTTCAGTCACATTTCTGTATGTTATTTACACGTTCAACAATCAATCAAGATATTTTAATTAAAATGTTGCAATGACATTTCCCCATGATATAATAGAGCTTTCTTAAAATAAGGAATACTTCAGGGTAGGCTAATACATGTACTTTAGGAAGACATTATTTTATATCCAACGATAGCGCTTGGGCAAATGTTTATTTAAAAATAACAACTCTACAAAAACCACTCTAGAAATATCTACTGATATTATTTGATATATTGGCTTGCATTTTACCTGTGAATAAATGCCCTCAAGTTGCCATGGGTGAAGCCTCAAAATACCACCATAATCTTCTCCATATCTGGCATACAAGTCAGCTCCTAAACGGTACATAACATGAATCTGTAGACATGGGAACCTTGATTCCACGCAGACTTTGTTCAGGCGATCAATTGGCTTGTTGTTTTCCCAGACAATCGTCGTAGTCGTGTAACAATGTTCACATTCTTGCCATTTCTGATTTTCATAATCTACGGAAGTAACATGGCAGTTCGCAGCTTCAAATTCGCGGCCATTGAATTCCAATTTGTTTACGACAAATTCACGTACAATCGTGGCTCCACATACTACTAAAACGATGAGAGCGGCCCCTCCTAACAGTATCAAAGGTATAAGAAGCTTCAAATTGCCGTTTTGAGCCTGCATTTTGACGGCATAAAGTTGTTTTCAATGTTCCATAAGTTTTTGGTTTACCTGTTCCGCTTTGAAATCGAATGTAGGTCAAATGATTAATCATACAGATGTCGCTGCAATCGCAGGTAAAGATAGTAGCGACATCTTTCAATAAATTGTACTTGTTGATGTTGACAGATTCCCAAACCAACGTTTTCAATTTCCATACTCAGGCTAATGTGTTTTAAATACAATGAATTTGAATTTTCCAGCATTCAGCAAAAAGTTGGTATTTTTTGATGCAATGCTATAAAATGTAAAATTTCCTTAACTTCATCAAACAGAGACATATCAAGAGTTCAACCATGTACAGGATAGGCCATGGCAAAACAAAACCACTACCATTTGCATTCGTTCGACTTCACTTCTTAGAAGAGAGCTTCGTCTTCACTCTTTCAATTTACAATAAATCTCTGATCTCACCGAATTAATCAGAGTTCGTTGGCGAAATACGAACCACTTTCTATATGGTCATTTTCCTCTGACAAACCCGCATTGTTATGAGCACTGGCTTACTGTATTTAGCTGGTGTTCCTTCCACTTGCTGATTGGTTGAGAAAGGGCCAGCGTGGTAGAAAAAATGATTTATCACCTGGGCTGTCAAAAGCACCAATCTTCGGGATGGGACTGCTAAACTGTCATATAGTCTATAGTAGGCAGAGAGTAGTTTATAACTAGACTCTGCGCACAGGGTACAACACATAATTTGTTCATTTATTAATGATTTCAAGTGTTTTGCTAACTTTTTCTCTCTGACAACTTTAATATCTACTGGGTGTCTCAAAATTGCACTCAAATGAATGGAATAAATCTTTTTTTCTTCATCGAAATATGAAGGTATGATGGGATTCATAAGCATCTAAAAAGTTCTGGTTTTTGTAAGTTGCTAAAGTGAAACCCAAAAGTAATGCAAACAACTTTGAAATATATATATTGGTGATGTACATGTATTTGTTACAAAATAGGGTAAAAAGCAACAAACAACACAATTATTCTAAAGTGCATGCCATCCAAAAGAAGTCCATTTGATTTTTAAAACTTTAACAACACTGAACCTAATAAGGGAGGTGGGTTACCAAACTTTTGGAGAAGAATGTAACAGGAAAAGGCAGAAAATTGGCAAAAAATCCTCCTCTGATAATTACCTAATTGAAAGAAAGTCAGTTGTTTTAATGAATATCAATTTGAAGATTCTCACAGAGTCTTCATAGGATAGACAAACAAAACGAGGAACATTAAATATATATTGATCAATAATATATTTATACTATTATGAAAATACATGTTGGTTTTATTTATATTTATTCATAATACTGTCAATCCTGGTTTTACAATGGAATATTATGTAAACAGTTATGCATAGGCTTTCTGAGTTGCTAAAAATATCTATGCTACTTGTTATCCTTTCCACAATTATTACAGCTTATTTTGATGTACAAAGTAATACTAATGTAATAAATGTAACAATCTTTTAGTGATTTTAGTTTATGCTCCACATATTAGCACTAGACAGAAATCTGAAAGTCTATCGGAGATAATTATTGTATATCTGTACACTGTTCAAACCATAGTATAATTTAAATCTTTCTGGTTGATTTTAAACTATTTTCAATATTTTTTGCATGAAAATAATTTAAATGGGGCTTGAGGGATAGAAATAGATGTGGCAATTTTATAATATTTTTGTTTTCATCATATCATGCCTATAGTCGAAGAGTTTTGATTTTATTTCAGGATAACCTTTTTCAATTAATATTTAATCTACTATCTAAATTCTTCTTTTAATAGAAAATATAATTAAATAAAAGAGAAACATAGGCATGATCTTTGAAAATATTGCTTCAAATATTTCACACTCTTTCCCTCTAATTCCATAAGCATTGGACTTGATAAATTATGAATGGTTAATTGCACTTTGTTTTCTTAAGTACTCGGTTTTCAGGTTGCAAACTAAAACCTTGTGCAACGAACCATAAATCAATCATAGACAATTGACACCCTGGTTTAAATCCATTAAACAATAAAAGTTTGCTCCAACCTCATAAACGTCATATACATTTCATACTCAGAGTGGTCTTGTAAATGTTTGTGGTTTTTAGAGACCCATTCAATATATTGATGCATCACTGCTAATCAACATTGAATGGCAATTCAGATCTGAATCAGCACTGAATCTGTGTTGATCAATGGGTTGAGCGAAATGCAGAGAAGATCTCCATTATTTCACTATTGATTTAATGCTGCTCAGTATTGAAGAGTTCGCCTGTGAAGTTCATATTTCTGCATCATCATGTGTAATAAAGTTTATTTGATTACTGTGTAACTTGGGTTAACTTAATACTGCTTTATTTTGGATTAGTTTTTTCAAAAATTGCAAAAGCTTACAGTTCTTTTCAAACTATGTACACATAAGGAGTTCCTCCAGTGAAACAATCAGAAAATCAAGTATATACTAAATTGGGCGATAAAAATACAACAAAGCCAACTATAAGTCATTTCTTGCCTGATGTGTTCAGTTTTATTCTTTTTTATCACAACACTATCCAGGTGATTACCATGGTAACATTGTAGTACTGGTCCTCCAAAATTTACAATTCTAAAATTAACTCAAGTTACAGTTTTGTGTTTACTTAGTGTTTAATCAGATACCGAATGATCTATCTAAATGGTCAGTATTTTTTCCACCATATTTTAGAGGGAAGTCAACATCATGTATATATGTTTCTGTTAATGATACAATGTTATGTTTAGATCATATAAAAAATATAATGATTGTCTTAATCAACTAAGACACAGTTTTATATAAAAACACATGAACTTTCCAAATGAAAACTGCTTGTGGAAGTTGCTTTGCCATCATCAAAAGGAATGATTGGTTATTCACATTATCGTCCCATTCACATTTTACTATACATTTCATCCATTTTTGCTTGGAAAAATTGTCTCAATTGTGGTCGTTTTGATTTGAAGGTTGGTGTGAGAAATCCGTTTTCTACAGAGAACAACTCAGGGTGTATATGTATTGCCTTCACCTGAAACAAAAAGGAAAACATAAATAGTTTTCAATAATCACAATTGAATGTTATGCAAATACTTGATTCTTATGAGGAGAATATCCTTCACAAGTGATATCTTCAATAATACACAATCATGTGCTAACATTGAAATACATATTTCAAATCAAATACTGTACCCCCACTAATTTTTGACGCTATTATATTTCGCATTTTGGGCATTTTTTTAATTTTGCGGCTATAAATTTTCATACGAGATCATTCTTTCGACTTTGATATCAGCCATGATTGTTCCTTCACCCAATGATTTTGGCTTCTTATTAAGCCTTTTCGTTAGAATGTTCATTTTAATACAGTAATAACGATCTCTCTTTTAATTTCTCTTTTTAAAAACTCAAAATGTCACGTTTTTACCTATTATCGCCCAGCACTGGATGAAAACATTGTCAACATTGAAATCCCCGGGAATTAATTTCCTTGGAATTTCACGACTATCAAATTTCGTGAATTAAAACTGGAGGAATTTAGCAGCTATTATATTTCTCGAGTTTTCCAAAACTCGAGAAAAATAGTAGCACACAAAAATTACCGGGAGTACAGTATACATAAAAAATAATATTTCTTCTTATTGCCTAGTACTGTAGATTGGATTAATTTGGCGCCCGCTTTAATTTGGCGAATTTGGCGAAATTGAAAAATTCGCCAATATAAATCTCTGCCAAAATTTAGAATAAATCCCCGGGAATCATCTAGGGTATTTCGTCCAGTGTATTTAGGTCACTTCCGGTTTATTTTTTCCAAAAATATGAAAAAATGTCTCTCATAAATTGGCTCAGAACTGGTCAGTCACTCATTTATACTCAGGGAAAAGTAGCAGGATCGATTGAGGTGTAAAATGTAAAGGATGATCTCACAAAAATGTACAAACGTGGTGAATATCGCCAGTGGTCCTCAAAAGAAAAAATGAACATAGCCAAACATGCCCATTTACATGGTAATTCGCAAACAGCGCGTAAGTTAAACATTCCATTAACATTTTTTTGCATATCCGCCAAATTAAATAGCCGCCAATATGCCAAAAATGGCAAAATCGCCAAATTAAGTAGCGCCAAATTAACCCAATCTACAGTACTAGTCACTCGTAGGACATAGACCAATAAGAGAGTGAGAAACAAGATAGTTGTATGACAATAATAATTATTATTCACAATGAACCCACCTGCTCAAATGATTTCAAGCCTCCTTTCTTGCCAAGGTCTGTAATTTCTTTCAGTATAGCATCCTTCACTTCTTGTTTTTGACATAGTTGCTCAAAGTTCCCCTGCAAACCTTTGTCACTAGCCCATCCAGGTAGGACTTCAGGGTCTGGCACAGCAATACCAACTAAGCAAGGCTGCAAAGTCACATAACCAAATACAGCTCACAGTTTCTAATTATTTTTATGAGAAACTGCATATTATTGGTATATCAAGGAACCAAATGCATGAACAGTGAAACATGCATATTTAAAAAACCTCTCTTATCCAAACATCTCTCAATATGTACATTTTTATTGGTCTCAATTTTGTAATCTCCCATTGACTTACACATTAAAAAATTGAATGTCAAGGATTTTTACTTGAAGTAGTAGGAAGAAAAAATTAACAGTATAAATAACAGTATGGCAACAGCTGAACACTGTGTACTGTTTGAAAAATCAGAATATTTGCAATTTCCCCAAAATTTAAGCACTGTAAATCAACGAAGATTATTGTACAAATTTCCAGGGAGATTACTTCAGAGATATCAGAGGGTATGAGACCACACAAAAAGCAAAAAGTACTCATCCACCCAATGGACCTACTTGGTATCCCACTATATTATCTTTTTGATTATATACTCAATCTTCAAAAAGAATTCACCTAGCACATATACATAAACACAGAGCATCAATTTTTTTGATTTTAATGAGCTACACCATTCTGAAACTCTGATTTCTCCATATATTAAATTGCTGATGGTAAGTGTGTTCTTAATCAATATACAGGGTATCCATGAAGTCTCTTTCTGGAAAATGATATTTTGATTGTGAGGGAACATCAAAAAGAAGAATACAAAATACTGTGAGGTGGAAGAACCACAACCACAACCAATCATGTACAGGGTGTCCATGAAGTCTCTTTACAATTTACACAGACTTTGAATTGGAATTATAAAGAGACTTTACGGACTCAATGTATTAACATTGATGTTCAGTGACACGCACCTGTAAGCTGTTTCCATCTACAAACATCTGAGCTACCAGTGAAGCCCTCATGTAGATGTTCTCTATCTTCTCCGGTGCAATGTATTCACCCTGGGCAAGTTTGAAAATGTGCTTCTTCCTGTCTATTATCTTTAGAGTCCCATTCTACAACAAAAATGGCATTGCTTTATTTATAGGCACTTAAGTATCATCACAACAAATGTAAGTAAAGGCACTACAATGTAGATTCATAGAGACCCTTTAGTCATGGTATTAAGGTACATGTATATTGTAGAAGATATGAGCTTTTGATTGAAAATGACTTTCTTTACATACAATGCAACAATAGGAAAGGCATTTTGTAGGCTAAACGGAATGGTGTTCTCTCCATCTCTTCTCAAAAAGCTGATTGGTCAGACCCACAAAAGAACACTGTCCACAAAAAAGTTGGAGACCATAATAATAAGTGATAAAAGCAATTTTGACTTACAGGCATCCACATTCCAATATCTCCTGTATGAAGCCAGCCTTCACTATCTATGGTCTCTGCTGTCTTCTCAGGCTGCTTCAAGTAGCCTCTCATTATATTGGGACCCTTAGCGCACACCTAAAGTACAGAATTTATATTATTGCGACAGTTATTGTAAAGATTGTCAATGATTTTTGTAATAGTTTATCATCATACTCAGAAATAATGGTTTTGAATTTTCAACTTTTTACATTTTTGAATTTTATTTTTGTAATCAATAAAATTGTACATCAGATGGATTTGCCAAGGCTAAAAAATTAACATGAGCGGCTATACTTTTTATAAATCATATGACAGCGATCAATGTGTATGATTTCATTACCATTACACATCAACACACAAGTAAATGTCACAGAGCAACAATTCATCCAGGGCACTACCATGCATACAGTGAACATACCTCTCCCTTGCCATCCTTAGCAAAGTAGTTCATCTCTGACACATCATCCAACTTGATGAGGTTACAGGGCAGAGGGGGTCCTACTGGGCCTGGGGTCGTATCAGCTGGTAGAGTGACAGTCAGGCCAGCATTACCTTCAGTTTGTCCATAACCCTCAAGGATCTAAAACAAACAAACTCACATTACATAACTTAAAAAACGTCATCAATAAAGTCAATATCTCCCCCAACTATCATCAGACACTATTGTCCATTAATCAGAACAGTCATCAGATGATGTTAGTATGAATGATATCAAAGTTGCACATACAGTGCCTGTATAAATACAAACTCTCTCATCTGAACATGTCTTAAGCTTCAGTCACATGTTCTCTGCAACAGGTGTATGGCGACTGTAGCTTCATAAAATCAATATATAAAATCTACATCATGCTGCTTATCCCCATATATTATGCTGCATATTTCTCTCGATTTTGAGCAGCTATGACCGCTCACGGTTGCCGTAGATAAAATGTAATTGAGGCATTAATGTAAACACTTTGTCTGGTCATATTTTTAATCTACCATTGATAAACATTGTTGGAAAACATATAATAATAAAATGTTAACACCTGCCACTTCGAACATTCTTGGCTGATCCGAGTGACATTCACAAAAGGCAGGTTTTACAGAACATATCTAGCAAAACATGTCATGGCTACGTCTTCTAGCTGAGTAAATGGTTTACTTACTGGGCATCCAAATGCACATCGGCAGAACATCATGACTTTCTCAGATATAGGGGCAGATCCAGTAACAGCCAGTCTTAGCCTTCCACCAAGGCCTTCCTGAACCTTCTTGAATACAAGCTTATCCCAGATAGAATCCTTCCTTATGATACCTCTGCAAACATCAAGTCATTCTAATAAGAATCAAATGTCATAGACACAATTGCTAGACTTGGAGCATATAATCATTAATTAATGTTCGTATTATGATATAATGAGAATGTTTTAGGCATTTAAAGAATGGGAAACAAATTTACAAGAATAAAACAGATCAGTCTCTAAAGCCAATAGCATCCTTGGAATAATAAAAAGAACTTTCTCCCATCTGGACAAAACAATCCTCCCTCTTCTCTACAAATCACTTGTAAGACCCCACTTGGAATACGCAAACAGCGTATGGAATCCTCACCACAACATGGATATTGACAAGCTAGAAAAGGTCCAAAGACGAGCGACAAAACTTGTACCAGAAATTAAGGACATGAATTATGGGGATAGGCTAAGATACCTGAAGCTACCATCACTCCTGTACAGAAGGAGACGAGGGGATCTCATCCAAACCTACAAAATCATAAAAGGTCTTGACAGGATTAATATCACTGACATTGCTGAAAAATCTGAAGCTCATAGAACCAGAGGAAACACTGAGAAGCTCAATACAAGATACAGTAGACTGAATGTCAGGAAGAATGTTTTCGGAAACAGAATTGTGAAAGACTGGAACAATCTCCCACAGACTGCAATAGATGCTGACAATGTCAACCAGTTCAAGGCGCAAATTGACAAACACTTCCACAACCTAAAGTACCACTACAACTAGATGACAGCCCCTTTAACCCATGTCCAGTGAGCTTTCAAGAAAACAACCCCCACCCCACCTTTTTCCCACTTAGTAAGACCTTACATATAACAAGATCTGGATAATATAGGATTCTTCCTTCTTCCAGAAGAAATGGTATACAGGTATACAGGTATACAGATCACTTAAATGTGTCATATATACAGGACAAATATAAGGCCATCCTCCTCAGCAGGTGTCCAGAATCCGTACCTCCTTCTTTCCCCCTGCTATAATCAATTTGGAAGCTCCCAATAAAACTGAATCACCTGATCTAATTATGCGCTGATGATGTATACATGATTGCTGTCTCAATGTTGCGACAGCGAATCAAATTGCGAGTTCTTGATCGGGGAAATGCTAACTGCTTATCGCAGGGGGTAAAAAGAAAGAAGTATTCTGGATTTTGAAGCCCTGTGATCGGAGGATGATATAAGGCCAAATAAAACAGCTAGCAGTAATCGATATATTGATATTATAGTTTTCAAAATTATATTACATCCATCTTAACATAAATTATGAAGTAGTGACAATACTCACTTTTCCACCTCTGCTTGTTTCTTGCTCATGGCAAAGTTGAAGAGAATACTCTTTATCTTACTAGCACTGACAGCTTGCAGAGTCTAAAAAACATTATACCAAGGTAAATTATTGATTTTAAAGAACAACAAGGCATTAACATGCACTTTTTCACCACCTGACATTTTTGTTACAGATGCCATGATGTGGTAGACACCAACTGCCAAATGAGAACCACCATACACAAAAAAGTTGGAGACGAAAAAATATGTCACCACTTGTGGCGACATAATAAATAAATAAACTAGTGTTTACTTACATGTATCATAAACATGATTTTCCGTAATAATGAATACTTGGAAACTAGTTTCAGTTATTGTATTTATAAAATAGTCTTATGAACAATACACTAGTGATAATTATCAATAAATTATTATTGTTATATAATCACTATTCATTAATTAGTGAACTTTCAGAAATACCTTGTCATAGATCCTATTGAGCAACCTGGGGACTACAGGGAAAAAAGTTGGTTTCAAGACTTTGATATCTTCCAGTAATAATTTGACATCTCCCCGGAAGAAGCCAATGTGACAGCCCTGCATAATCATGAATGACTGCAATCAGAAATTAAATACAACAATGAAATCTACAATACAATCAGAAAGACAACATGAAGCCTACAATCAGAAAGAAAAAGATGAAGTCTGCATTTACAAAGAAAATAATTAAGTCTATAATTCATAATCAAGTGATACAACCTACATTATAAGGTTGAATGTAAAAGAATAATAAAGGAAACCATAAGAAGAAGTTGTTCTTCAAAGCAATAGATTTTACAGAACCATGGCTGAAATGCGTGGAAGAAGATATACAGTAGGTAGGCCTCTGTGTAACCATAGATTGAAAGCCCATGGTGTAACTCACCTCAACAGCTCTTTCAAACATGTGAGCCAATGGTAGATATGATATATGGACATCAGATGGTGATATTGTGTCAACTTCCTGAAAATAAGAACAAATTAATATTACAATGTGATGTGATTGTTTCTGATGTAACTGGGAGAAATATAATGAATATGATGTTATTTTGCGTCATATTTTTCAGAGTCAATCATTATTAAAAGTTTTCCTTAATTTCATACATGATGATAGGATCTAGATTGAGAGAGACTAAAATGAGAAGAGCTAACTCCCAAATGATACATGTTGAAATAACCAAATATTGTATTATTTAAAAGTAAGTCATTGGAAATATGCAAGATCTGCTTCGAAACTAAATTGCTTCATAATCAAGTACTTAGTTGAAATCAGTGGCGATGAATAGAAATATGTACAAAAGATATTTTACACTAGTCTCAATCAAGGGTAATATTCTCACAAAAGGAGAATGACACTTGCTCTCCTAATCTACTTTGAATCTACTTCAGGTAAAGTGCAATATGAAATAATTTAGTGAGACTTCCATCAATTTGGGCAACACACCCATGTACCTATTTCCCAAGTAAAGTACTTCACTCAAGTAAATACAATGCCAACTGTCACAAGTAAAAAACAAGTTGCCTTTTCGGTGCACTCAATAGTTTCATACATTTTTTCTCAACTAATATGAGGATATCAAAGAAAATACTAATAGAAACACTTATACTGAGACATCTATGACAGGGTAGTATGCAATTGGCAAAGAGTAGAAAATGTGTTAATTTTTTTCAGTGAATATCTGAACCACACCTCAATTCTCCATATCAACATCTTTTACATTAACATCAAAGAATTGTGCATCTATGTTTAAGAAGGAGAATACTATATTCTCTATGTTAGTTGATTTAGATAAAAGGGCACACAAGAACTGTCAGTTTATTTCCATTCTGTTAAATTCCAATGTCATTAAAAAATTCACTCTAGACGTGACATGAAAACATCATTGCGAAACACTAAAAAATCACCCTTTTTGCAAAGAAAGTCATCCTATAATAATAAGAGGGGTTAATATGTTAGAGATCTATTTCTAGGTTCATCCAAATATTAGCTTATATACTCACATCAGTTGCCAGCTAAGTAAACATAAATATAACATAATGAGATAAGCCTTATATAGTTTTCATGGAGTGCAAAACACGTGTTCTACGATTGGTGCCATTCTAGTTGGACCAAACCCCCAAATATGCAGAATATATGTTAAGTAGATATATTGTTTATGTATATTCTTCCAAGTATGACCTCAAATTTTATTCTGACCATTGCCAAAGATCTCAATCGCAACACAATTTCCGTCTTTTAACAATGAACAGAATAAAATCTTCAATCATATGGTGTGCCATAAATCATAGAATCTCTGTCTTTATTCCTAATTATCAAAACAGCTTGCTTCAACGAAAACATGACTGATGCTCCCCGAAAAGCGCTTTGAGCTGTTAGGTTTCCTACTATTCGGATTGTAATGTAAAAACATTTCACTATGACTATAAATTAAAAGGCAAAAATAAATGATCTTAGACAACCAAAGCTTATATTCAAACATGTACATGCACCACAAGTGCAATATAAAATTTATTAAAACATCTGTACACTTTACATGCATTACAAATACAGAACAGGCATGCATTACACATGTTGCAGACAGTATGAAACGTAACAATTACAATATGATCATAAGCGAAACAAAGCTGATTGAATATATTCCAATCCATCCTATATACTTACATTTACAATTTTGTAGACAGCAGCAACATTTGAAATAATGTTTTTGTGGGTCAGCATAACACCCTTTGGATTACCTAAAAGAAGTTCAAGATATATTACTCATTAAATATATTTAAACAATCATTTAAACAGTTTAATCCAAGTTTTTACATAAAATACAAAACATAATAATTTGAATTATCTGATGTCATGTTGTTGTTAATTTTTTATAAAGAATATATATAATACCCTCGGTCAAGAGAATCTTGGGCCACTAAGGAAAAGTCTGTATACTTATGTTGAATGGTAAGCAAACATAGCAAGATTTTTCGACATACAAGATATTGCATGCAATCTAGCTAAAATCCAAGATGTTTGAATTATTTCAAAAATCTCTGTAATGGAACATTGGTAGCTGAAACAATCTGTAAAGTTTGATATTTTATCAAAAGACTTTTTCTTAATGAGAGACTGCTTTTTACAGAAGGATATTATGATTATCTTAAATGTTAAACTATTTTTATGGCTGGGTTCATGAACTACATACACAGTTTCTATATAAACATTGTAAAAAGGAGTGTTTTAAGACACATATAGAATGTATGAAGTACAGTAAAACCTGTCTAATTAGACTATAATCCAAATCCTACTGGTACTGGCCAAAAGTTTGAGGGGCAGGTGTTAATGTTTTGATGTTTTTTAACATGATAGCCAATGGGAAATAAAAAAAATGACTCTGTTCACATTGAGAGATGTTCAGATTGGTAAGGTGTTCAGATATACAGGTTTTACTGTATGATCATGCAACTGTGCATGTTTATTGTCTCTACCTGTAGTCCCACTTGTATAGCAAATTGTAGCAAGATTATCTGGCTTAGGAGGCTAAAATCAAGCAAAAATAACCAAATACAAATAAACAGTACGAACAGTAACACAACAATGGGGTAGAGTAGTCAAAATGTTTGAGCTGGACAACATATATATGTCACTGTGTTGATTGTTGTGAACATGATGGGACGTCCCATCCCAAGATATGATATGTAACTTGATGTTTGCAAACTAGTTGGAGAAGGTGGTATGCATGGTCTTCATTTAGTTCATCTCTTATCATTAAACATCATTAAATAACGTTCATAAAGGACACTCTAAATTTGATAAGTGTATTGATAAGTCTTTTTTAATTATCTCCATATATTATAGTCGAGGGACTTTGGGTCAATGACATAAAAGTGTTGTTGAGAAGGATTATTAAAATCGTAGGTACATATGTACCATTTGTTAATGCTAAAAATAAATACTGGTATTTATAAATCCTTCACCTTGAAACTTGAAAAAACTCTCAAAAATGTTATCAATCAATAAATTAAAGTTCTTGATAGAGATAATCCTTTAACCAAACATTAAAAGTATGCTCGGGGAGACACTATTGCACATTGCCATTTGTAACTCATTAGTTAAATAAGCAAGTAATTTTAAAGTTACTGGCAAATTAGAAATTAATGTTATAGCCATACATTTAAATGAGAACTTCATACACATTTTGAGCATGATACTAATTGTAAAGATTAAACCCATTTTTATGTGAAATCATTCAGTGGAATATGCATGTATATTGTGACACATCAGTTGCTGCAAACATGACTTTGTGTATAAAACTTAAGAACTTCAACTTGGAATTATATATGGATTGTTATGTCAAACCACATTTTAATATGAATATGAAAGCACAAACAATTTTGACTACTACTACTGTTATTTTAGCCTTATATATGAAAATCTGCTGTGAAACGAAAATCAACAAATAAATAAACATGCAAGGGAATTAAAAACTAAAATAGGTAAAATAATATTTCTCAGACCAGGCTGAGTATCATAATTATGATAACAAACTATATTATGTAAATGCAAATCATAAGGCCATAAACAAATAGTTTTCTACATATAAATGTATGACACTTGTTCATTAAGCAAAATAAATAAATACATGTATGAACAAGACAATATATGACAAAAACTTCATAATTGCATATATTGTCTGATTACGCAAATATTAAAAATGCCATCTATACTAGGTAGGGGTGTCACAGAAACTCATTTTTCAAAATTATCTCTAATCATCTCTAATACTAATCAAGTATCCGAATCATTTACACACAACAATTAAATGTAAGTTTCATTATATAAGTATACTTACCACTGGCTCTGTTATATTATTTTGACCAAAATCCTAAAATGCAACAAAAAAACGAAAGATTTTAAACTTAAAACTGCCATTATGGGCAAAAACTTTATATCTGTAAAGGTACAACAAAAACAAAAGATTAAAACTTAAACCTGCTATTTAGACTAAAATTTTCATAACTGGGCAAAAACTTTAAATCTGTAAAGGTACAACAAAAACAAAAGATTACAACTTGAGACTGCTATTTAGACTAAAATCTTCATAATTCTATCAGAATTTGTAAGTGTGGTGACATACCAACATATCTTGGAAGAGTAGAATGTCTACCCCCTTCTCTTTTGCAGCACTGACCAAGCCCTGATCCATAGAATCCATGACAATGATCTGCTTCAATGAGGGCGTCTCTGATATGCTCTTCAGCAGAACTGTTGCTTTCTCCTTCTTGTCACAAACAACAGTATTCATACCAGCTGAAGAAAGATTAAATGATGGATGTATATTAGATATGGGCAGTTCAGATAACAGATGTTCCTCAAAATCAGTATACTTGCATGTAAAATATTCTTTTTGGTTTTGAAGTGGATGCCATTTTGAAATAAAACACTTATTGCCTTAGACCGTTTAGTACTGTATACCTTTTCACCAAATATGGGTGACTTGCCTTCACACAGCAAAAGGATCACATTATGGCACAATTAAAAACTTAATATAATAAGCATTGTGAGGTTGTCTCCAAATACAGCATTTAACAGCTAGGTTATTGCTGAGAACATATTTCTTGTTGAGAGATCCCACCAAGGACAAGTAAGTTTACGTAAAGATTAGATAGGCATTAGTTAATGGACTCTTACTCTGATTGATGATATATGTGCAAGCATCAGGGCCAAGTGTGTCATACAGGGGGACAAGTACCATGGAGAACATGTTACACGCCTGTTCAGTGATCACCCACTCTGCTCTGTTATTTGAGTAGACACCTATAAATGTATCTTCCCCTGATTCGAGACCCTTTGCCTTGAATGCAGAGCCAAGTTGTCTAGCTTGGTTGTATGCCTGGAAACAGAATAAACAGGATATTAGAGAACGCATGTATAGCATACTGATTCAGTATACAGACACTTTCAGAAATTGGTTCATAAATAACATTTTACAGTATTGTAGCTCTCTTTCAATCAGAGAAGCAAACCCAACAGAAGAAAACATATTCTATCAAATCAAATAATCAAAAAACTCATGAAAATTGGTGGCCATTTTGAATTCAGTGGCCATCTTGAGGATTTCTCCTTGAGCAGAGCTCCTATGTCCCCAGGGCTCATTACATTAATTTCAAATATATTAGAATTGACAGTTCTTTAAAAAACCTAACCGACACTGAAAAAATCTAAGTTGCAACTTCATAACAGGCTATTATTGATTAAGTAGTGAAGAAGGGATATCATACCTGCTTGTATGTGATCCATGAGTAAGGACCATCTCCCTTCCTGGTTCCTAGGAACTCACCATCATCTGAAAGTATGTACAGGCAATACATCAATACAAGTAAAGCCAATGCATCAACAATACAAGTATAGTCAATACAAGTAAAGTCAATGCATCAATACAAGTAAAGTCAATGCATCAACAATCCAAATATAGTCAGTACATCAATATAAGGAGTCATTACATTACAACAAGTATAGTCAATACATCAATACAAGTAAAGTCATTACATCAATACAAGTAAAGTCTATACGTCAATACAATCAAAGTCAATACATCAATACAAGTAAAGTCAATACATTAATACAACTATAGTCAATGCATAAAGCTAAGTCAAGTCAACCATCTACATGTATATTAAGAAGTACATAAATCAAAGTAGAGTCAATACATCAGTACAAGAAGAGTCAAAACATCAATGTGTAGGTAGTGAATTATGGAATTAAGAATTTATCTTTATTTCATTGATCTCCTGATATGCTTTGACTGAATTTGCTTAAATATTTCATTGTGGAATTCACTGAATTTAAGATATGGGTAAAAATGTTTTTTTGACTTTTTAGTAAAGGGTCAAAGCCAGTGTCATTCTTTTCACATACTTATACACAGCTACAGTATATGTATAGATTGTAACCTTGGTATATAATAACAATTCATTAAACTGATAAAAATGTCTCAAGTGTTAATAATTCAACAATCAACGGCATTCAATGTCATTTGAAATTGTAAATTTAGCCGATCAGTTTCAGTCCAAAGTTTTGGTCACCAGTATCGAATCAGAGGAATATTGTTGCTTTTTGGCAAGATATGCACTTACTAATGCCTCAATCACATAAGCTCAGAATCATTGGCCAGCACCTGCACAATTGAGTATTTTGTTCAGAAATGCATTCATTTTTGAACAAGATACTCAATGGGGCGGGCACTGGGCGATGAATCGGGTCGCACAGAGACTATGTGAGCTAGGCATTAGTTGGAACATATGTGATAGCATTGTAGGGGGTATAGATATTTTGGATGTAATTAGATTTTCTTTGTTTTATCTTATTTTTTTGAAAAAGGGTGAGTGCACCCTAAAAGCTACATCCGCAATGTGATCACATAGTTTCTAATTCTAAAGGTACCTACCATGCCAAAAATCACCATGACCATTATTCCCCTTATTTGATACCAATCAACCCCCGCTGCAGATGACCTAATTGATTGGCCCAAATATTACTTGGTTAATGCTTAACACTGCTCCAAGTTTCCCATTTTCCCAGACTGAACTTGCCTTGGCCCACAAAGTTGCAGAATCTTATATTTTGATCAATACTTGCGGAAAAGTGGGAGGAGTGGATAATTAGCCTAATTAGCAAGGAGAAGAAGGAAATACTATGACATGCATGTGGCACCAAAAATTATGCAAAATATTATAGTTTTACAGAATATAATGTGTATTCGAACATACACTATATGCCACCATAATATAAGACAAATTGTTCCAATTTCCAATGGTACATAGAGAATATTCTTTCAAAACTTGAACCCATTTGATCAATGTATACTTACTTGATACTTTGACGCCTCTAAGGAAGCCTTCATACAGTGTCTGTACATCTTCATAGTAATATGTTATTAGATTTCCATCCCTGGCAAGATGAGATGTGCGAACTCCTCCCTGGAACAATAGAAAACAGTGAAAATGTGAATCTGATCAAACTTTAATTCAATCAAATGAATAAAACCAATCAATTCAATAATAGGATCTTATATATTCCTGGACCCAATGCATTGTGCTAATTAAGGTTGGGAAAGTCAAATTCCATTTATTTACACTTCTCCCATCCTTGGTCCAAGACTAATTCATTGCATTAGATTATCTGATATGAAAGCAGTGAAGGACCGATCTGAAGGATGCACTTCTCCCTTTTAGTCCTTTTTAGGAATGCTGACACAGTTGTTATGTCAAGAGCAAAATGTAATTTTCAATCAAATCATATTTCGATACATTCATACAAAATCGTTATTAAAAAGTTGCTGACTATGTTTGCTGCAAGCGACTTATATATTCCTGGATCCAATGCATTGTGCAATTAAGGTTCTGAAAGTCGATTTCATTAAGTTCATATTTTCAATATTGGAACCATCAGCGACATGTAAATTAAGACAAGGCATTAACTAGCAAAATGTCACTACCTGCCATTTGTTACAAACACCGAATGCCACTTGTGGTGGTGACATAAAATCTGGGCTCACCTGACCAACTTTAATGTTGGTCATGAAACCGATCTAAACTGATCAACATGACCGTTCTATAACACTGTTCAACTACTTGTAATTTATTACTCCATTATCTCAACAGTGAGACAGCCCCTTAACCCAAACAGTATTCATCTTTATAATGCTATCTAGGCTTAAAGATAAAGGCGGGTCTCTGACCTCACTTCTGTATTTTACATGTATAATAAATCTGAAATAATGAAATAAAAATGGCACCATTCGGGAGGGTGATGGATGGTGAGATGGAAACATCCATGATTTATTAATAGTTGTTTATACGGCATGATTTAAAAAAAATTAATGATAAACCAATGTTGACAACTAAGCCTCAGGTTGATACTGAGCACACAAAAAACATTAAATATCTCTAGATTTTTTCTGCAATATCAAAATTGTACTTAATGACATTACTTTTGACTGACATTTTGATAAAAATTTGGGTCATTTTTGAAAAATGCAACGTATAACCCATATCAAAACACTGTATAATGAGTTTAGCCATTTGCAGAAGATTAAAGAGAAGAATGTATTGTATGCTAAAGCGAATGAATAAATAAAAAATGATTTAACATAAGAATTATAATGTTTAAAATATGCATCTACATGTACTTAGCTTTGAAATAAATAAAACATCATATGGCTGTAATCAATTTATAATCCACTTGTGAATACCAATCCACACAAACTCTCACATCCACCATTGCAGATATTGAAATCTTGGATAAAAATGATATTCATCACTCCTGATTTAGATAACAAAAAGAGGACCCAACTTCTACTTAAACTTTGAGAGATTTGTTATTCATAATACTTGTACAATAAACAGGAACATGACTGTACAGTGAATTAAAGTCACGTTAGGGGTTAAATTAGTTGGGATATCTTTTATAAGGTATATCCTATTGGAAATAAAGGTATTATGACCTATTTAATTTCTTATACCATAACCCTCATATTCAATATCAACCTTGATGACCTAGTTTAATGTTTATTGTAATACGATATTCAAAATCATTTCAAACACCAAACCTGATGAATAATGTATGTACAGCAATAAACTTAACAGTAAGTACACACACTAATATAACACTATGCTTTGATTTGATTTAAATGATCAATACTATAGAAATATAAAAGAGGAAAGCTAGTATTCACAATAGTTTGATTTGAATTCACTAATCCTTTCAAAGTTAAAATTTATTTTTAAATTTGAATTACTTGTTATAGAAAGGGATGTTTATGCATTTTTTATAACTTATAAAGCTATAAAGGGTTAAGGGTTATTCATACGGTATAATGCTGGAAGAAGCGTAAATGCTTTTAAAAGAATGTAATGTACAAGGTGACCTTCTAATTCTAATATTGCTTGTGTATGATATACCACTAGAAAGAAAATATAATGTTAACTTTTATATTTAATAAAATGAGATATAATATGACAAATGGTATAGTTTTTTTTCTTTAGATCAGAAATTGTTGCATGGAAGTACTTCTGTTGGTTAACAAAGAGGCTATGATGGCACTGGCGGATCTGGGGAATTTGGGGCGAAAAAAGGCCTTAAGGCCCCAAAAAGTAAGCCTTTTTGGTCATTACTGGGCCTTATTTTTTAATTTCAAGCCAAATTTTGAAGAAAATGGGCGTCAAAATTTCTAAATTTGGGCCCACTTTTGGGTTTTAGGGGCCCAAAAACACAGAATCATTACATTGTCTTCTTTTAGTAAATCTGGTAAGATCAATGGGAACTCCAGGAAATTCTGATATTTCACGCTTTCTATTTATCCAAATTGGCCTGTTTCCAGGTTTACAAAAAGTAGACATTAGGGAGGTTAAGATTAGCGTAAAAATATATGTGTACCTATCCCTATTCGTATGTTTGTTACGGATGCGTATAGGTAATGCGTATTGCAAAACGAGTTTAAGATTAACGTAAAAAGCTACGAAACCTTATGCTACAATTTATGATAAAAATGACATCCTAATTATAGAATTAAAACCATGCGATGGCTTATATGGTACATTACAGTACATGTCACCTCCAAGAATGTTATATACTTCAGAGAGAGCGTGGTGCAGCTACTGTAGTTGGGAGGGGGTGTTGCTTGTGGGCCAGCAATGAGAGTGACCAAATAGTAAAGTTAAACAATTCAAACCACGAGAAAATGGCTGACTTCATACATTTACAATAAGCAAAACTTATGAAGAATGTGTAAATTCAACAATTTCATGCATCATCACATGGCATCGTTTATCGCATCAATGAATGTGTTCGACCACTTAATTTCTATGTAGATCGAATGAGAAGTGTTTGTTGTTACTATTTTAAAGTTTAATGGATGATATTTGATCTAGAAATGACATAATTTGTTGGATAAAAACATACGTTTTCAAATTACCTATCTTCGGCCATTTATAGGTAATTACGTATCGTGAACCCTATAACTTAGGTAAAATACCGCTTAGTGTTATAACAAACTACGTATAGGTATAGGTAAATGGGTTATTTACGCTAATCTTAAACTCTCTAATATAATGATACTTCCCTGAAAAAAGCAAGGAAATATCATGCCTTCATACTTAATTTTGTACGAGAAAATAACATGTGCAGGTATAGCAATTTTTTACCAAAATTTTACTTTCCAGCTGAACCTTAATGGTTTTATATTCAAACATTTGTTTCAAAGGCTGTAAAAAGCGACTTGCCTCATTTGCCTCAACGTAGCTACGCACTTGATATGTATATACTGAATTAAGACTGAATGTATACCAATTGGTATATAGTATACTGAAAGTAGACTGAAACCATACTGGTAGATCTAATTAACATAATTGAAACATACCTGCCAATGCAATTTTAATATGGGACAATGACTGAAAGTATAGTGAAACTAGACTAAAAGTAGGTCTGTCAGTATAGACTGAAGTATACCTGTCAGTATATACTGAACCATATCTTGCAATGGGCTGGGGTAATAGAGTATAATTCCTATGTACACTACAGTCTCTGGTATTTTGAGATATTTATTGTATAATAACAGCATTAAGTTATGAATTGGACAAATCTTCAATTGTATCTATGTTTCCATACTGTGAATGCTTTTGTGTCCAATCTTATAATGAGGATAGCAATCCAAACAAGCACTGCTGGATTTATTAATAAATATTATTCTACTATATGCATGTATCTGTAATTGGAACCTGTAGCAATACATGGAGTTAATATGATTTCGTATACATTCACTGGGGTATATGTGTAATTTGACTGATTCTGTTGCTATAGTAATTGCTTCTGATGAAACCTATTACAATTATTTCTAACACTGACTTTAAAAAGAAAAATTGAAAAAAGAATGATAAAAATATTCACATCAGTTTTCTTAACCGAGACAGACACCTGTTGTTTTACCAGGAGCAAAGTTAACTAATATTCTCATAATATGTTCACAGATACACCTACCCCCAGGTCATATGACTGGTTACTCATGTCTGTGATCTTGTCCAAATTTGCAGTTTGACCATTTTCCCGGCTAGTTGCCCTTACTAATGTCACTGGAGCTTGGTTTGGTGCCATACTATCATCCAGAATATAACGTTTTTATAAAATGTTTTCCTCAAATGATGTCACCTGTTTGTTTACTGAACTCGATAAGTTGAATATTTATTTCGTGATATTATTTCCTTGAACATGTGCCACAGCGGAAATATAACTGAAATACCTGTTTACAATGGTATACTGTATATAATATTGATTCTTGAAATTAAAGCAAAATATAGTTATTAATTCCTTTTAATCTCAATTCAATAATCCAATTTCTTCGGTTTAATCCTTCACATACTATATTGTAAGTTGACTATATTCTACTTTAGGTATTTCACTTTGCTTTCAAACCTTCGAAAGAATTTTAATGTTAACCATAAATAGGCAGAATATACAGTGTCACAGTTAGCTAGGTTTCTCACAGTATAAACTTAAAAAGCTGTTAACGATCTCAATGTATGCTTTTCAGTTTGCATGTGTCAATGTATTATAAATTGCTAATTAGAAGATCACGATATAGTCTGAACAAGATAGCCCATGTATGACATGTAGACGACCCAAACTTTGTTCAGTTGAAGCAATCACTACCTGTATATAGGTAATTAATGAGTAACCAGTATCACTGTTAAAAAAAACTCAACATATATATTTATCTAAGTACTGTATACCCTGTAGGGTCTCTGCTCATGTGTGCATAGCATGACGGGGACAAAATTAGAAACATAAATATGTTTTATCATGATTTTTAACACTGAGTGATTTTCATATGCACTGTGAAAGTAACGTTATAGTTGAAAAAGGGAAATGGCGATGAGTCTTACACATTTGGGTGGACATTTTGAATTTCACTTAAATGGGCATTGTTCTGGTTTACTATTAGACATATCCTGGCATGATTCCTTCACTCAGTTCTAATGAAGAAAATCCCATGTTAGATCTTGATTCATCTATATTTTCTTTAAAGTCAAATAACACACATGTTTATGTCTTTCTCTCTATGGAAAAATAATACTGATATTCTCTTCATTCGAACTATTCCCAAAAATATTATGAAGCAAATGGCCATCAGAGTTTAGAATGTAAAGTGTAGAGGAAAATCTAGAATTGTTATATGCAACTGGCAAAGAGACCCTAAATTAAACCTGGTAAATTAACCCAGTCACTTTAACATTTATCAAAAAAAGATAAATATAATATATAATAACAAAATAATTACCATTTTGAAATAATTTATCATTCATATCTTCTTAAAATAGCGTGCCTCTTGACATGTCAAAATTATCAACTCTAAGTTAACAAGTACGAATTGACACAAGGACACAAAGTGCTCACTACGTCCACACTTTCTGGGCATAATATCTCTGTCTTCATAAAAAAATGTTAACATAGAATTTGCAGTGTTTGTATGCTTGGATGCACGATGACTCAAACACAATGATTGCTATCATCATCTAAACAATTAATATTAGCCCAGATTCATATGCCAAAGAGCATCCATGAAATTTTGAAGTGAATCCATCTCATCAATCAACCAAATTAAAAACTGAAAAGTTATATTCTGTGACAGTAGATCCAAATTTACCTTAAATTTACCAAGCATGTTCTAAAACTACTGCAAATTCTAAAACTTAGTTCTAGGTGCAGATCAAGGATGCAAACATAGAGATACAAGGCATTAACATGCAAAATGCCACCGCCTGCCATTAGTAACAGAAGCCAAACTCCAAAAACTGAATGCCAGCCACTGAACATAAACTGCCAAACACTGTCCACAAAAAGTTAGAGACTTAATGGCCTTGTCATAACTTGTGGTGGTGACATAAAAAGCATACACATGGCAGCAAATATATTTGCAATAAAAACAAACCTGTATATATCATGATCATGATGCATGCTTCCTGGCATTCATAGCAAATGAAGTGTACATTTATTTACATACCCCAAGATCTACAGATTGGTTTTCAATTGGGATAGTGGATGGCAACTTCTGTGGGCCTGGTGACATCATATAAGCCGCTGTCCCCAGTGCTGCTACAGTGGCAGCAGCCACTACTCCAACTGATGAGCTATCCATGCTATCGGCCTACTGGTCCTACCTAGAGAACAACAAACAAGTATCTTTAGTACATACCCCAAGATCCACTGACTGGTTATTAAGCAACTCCTTATCCATGGCTGCCATCCTGCTACTTTATGTGCTTCATCTGGTTTACCTGCTTAAATTGCAGTCATTTAAAAATATAATGTGCTCCAGGCCAGAAACAAGCTGTTTTGATAAGGTGAACAATCATAAAGTAGATAAACCAACAGGCTAAGGCTCAATGCATAAACGTGTGCCAATACTATCAAAATGACATTTGAAGTGTTGTTCAATCGATCAGCTTTAACTGAACGATTGTCTAAAAAGACATAACTGACCTATTTTTTCAATTTACATGAATACATGTATATCGAGCACCTACCTACTTACCATTTGTGTAAAGTAAATCAGTAATACACACAAGCAGAATACTTGTAAATTAATGTACGGTATGTTTATTCATAAAGCGACAAAACATGAAAAAACACAACTGACGTTTGTACATCTACATATTTTATGTACATGTATTACTATAGAAAGGGAGTAACTTTATATCAGACTGTATGGTATAGAATGAAAGTAACTGTATGTATATATACTGTATAGACTGTATATATGCACGTTTATCAGACTGTTTGATATATTTAGGGCAACTGTATACCATAGTGTTTGATATAAACCTAGAAAGACATTATGCTTTGGTTATGTATCAGATTCACACCTTCCCATACCATTGGGAGCTGACACATGTGTTCATGTACTTCTATCAACACCTTTTATCAATTAAGGTATATTATACATATTATATTAACTATATTTAAAGCAGTTATACACCCAGAGACCTAAAAATTAATTTGTTACTTAAGGTACAGCTGGAAAATAACATTTTGGGAAAACTTGAATCTGCCAAATTATAAAATGTTAGACCAAAACAAAAACAATCAAAGTAATGCAATGCTGTCTAAAACAGACTCTCAGCTAAGATATCTTCTCATTTTAACAAGGATTCAACTTTTGATTCAATGCAACATTAGGACCACAATATAATGCATCAACAAGGCATTAACATGCAAAATGTCACCACCAGCCATTTGTTACAAACACTGACTGCCAAACACCAACCACCAAACACCATTCACAAAAAAGTTGGAAACTATATTAAAGCACTACTTATGGTGCTGAGAGAACTTTTAACTTCACCCCACCTTTAAAAGGCACATGTAACCTTGGCTCACAAAAGTTAAAAATCAAAATCTGAATGAATTATGAGATTAACAATGAAATAAGACATGTCTCAAGAACAATAAATTACACTTAAATTATAATTAATATGATCTGTAGTCTAGTCTAACCATTTATCAAATGTTATAATGATAAATGATATGTTCTTACCTTCAGAGTTCAAAAAGTATATTATACTACTATTGATATATTAAGTATTTGGCACTGACAGCCCCTGCAGATTTATTTGGTCATATATATTGACAATTGATTGATGTAAAAGATTGCATGTACACTATGTCTATGAAGCCGACATATCAATCTTTGAACCTTTCCTTCTGATATTGACACATTACTTTGGACCTCTGTCAGTCTGTACTATCTTTATGTAAGTGGCTGCTTTGATAGAACAATAGGTGAGAAAGTATACTTCAGGTCATTAATGAGATGAGATTATGGTAGCGGGAATGGTAGCTTAGTGAAAATACATTTACCACACATGTTACGATGATCACCAATGGGGGATACATGGGGGTTGTCCCAGAAGTAATGCACTATATGCTTCTGTAACTTATTTTAATATTCTTCAATTCAGCTGAAATTTTGTAATTATTGCAATTGAAGTGCTATTGAAATCGAAGCTTGTATTTGCGAATGCAAGCTATTGGCTAGCAGGTTGATTGCAATTAGATTGCAAACTCATACTACCTGTGTCCCGTTAGCTCTCACCCCAAACCAAGAAGCTGAGCTAAATAACGAATTAACCTGAGCAACTAACACCGACATTGAGGTGTTCTGAATTGTAAATAGCGGAAGTTCACCTGGCGCTACGCAAAACACATTTTAAGTTTGTTTGATCCTCGGGGTGGAAAATTTTCTAAGAGGCTCCGTTAAGGAAAAAATGACTTTAAGAGCTGGATGGAATTTCTGTGTATGTTTTATTATATTAGGGTGCCCTGCATAAAACATTTCGCCTGCGAAGTATATAACTCTTGCGAACATATCTAAATACTGGTCCGAAGAAGACATACCTTGAATTTTTTAGAAAAAATTGGCTAAAAATGGAAACTACAAGAAGTCAAAATGTTCAACTCAAACAAAGTTGTAGCTATTCTATATCAATATTTTGTGTTATGTAAGGTTTCTCAGATGTTTCAAGACCTTCATTAGTATACTTGTGTCTGGAAATGTGACATTTAAGGACAAAATTTGGCATTTTTAATCATTTTCGCTTTCAGCATTAACATATAGTTCCTTATATCTCAAGTTTAATGCTGACTGGTTGTTGCATTTTTGATTAAATCTGTGCTTGTACATGTATTCTTCCATTTAAGGTATAGAAAATGTATAGTGGACAACCAATGTTCGTATGAGAGCTTTCAGATCTCCCCTACCCCATTTAATATGGAAAATTACCGAAAAATATGAAAAAATAAAATAACTTAAAATTATAAACTTTAACAAAGTTGTAGCTATTCTATGTCAATATTATATGTTATTTAATGTTTTTTAGATATTTTAGAACCTATTTTTGTATACAAATGGCTAGAAATGAGACATTTAAGGACAAAACTTGGCATTTTTTTTATCATTTTAGCTTTCAGCAGTAATATATAATTCCTCATATCTTGAGTTTTATGCTGTCTGATCGTTGCATTTTCAATTAAATCTGTTCTTGTACATGTCTTCTTACATTTAAGATATAAAAAATGTATAGTAGACATACAATGTTCATATTAGAGGTTTCAGATCTCCCCTACCCCATCAATTATGGAAAATAAACGAGAAATATGAAAAAATAAAATAACTTGAAATTATAGACTTTCATAAAGTTGTAGCTATTCTTTTATCAATATTATGTGTTATTTAATGTTTTTAAGATTTTTCAGAACTTTTATTGGTATTCAAGTGGCTAGAAATGAGATATTTAAGTGCAAAACTTGGCATTTATTAATCAATGCTGCTTTCAGCAGTAATATATAGATCCTCATATCTTGAGTTTTATGCTGACTGGTTGATGCATTTTTGATTAAATCTGTTCTTGTACATGTCTTATTCCATTTAAGGTACTGAAAATGTATAGTGGACAAACAATGTTCATATTAGAGCTTTCAGATCCCCCCTACCCCATTTATTAGGGAAGATGACTGGAAAATATAAAGAATAACTTCAAACTACCAGTATAAACTTTAACAAAGATGTAATTATTCTTTATGTGTTATTGATTGCTGTAATTAATGTTTCAGGACCTTCATTAGTATACTAGTGTCGAGAAATTAGACATTTAAAAACAAAATTTGGCATTTTTCATCATTTCCACCTTTAGCAATAACATATAGTTCTTTATATCTTGAGTTTTATGCTGATTGGTTGATGGATTCTTGATCAAATCTGTTCTTTTGCCTGCCAACTTTGATTTAAGGTATTTAAAAATGTATATTGGAAAGCCTGTCATTATTCGTATTAGAGCTTACATATCTCCCCTACCCCATTTATTTTGAAAAAAATAACCAGAAATATAAAAAACCAAACAATTTCAAAGTATAGACTTTAACAAAGTTGTCGCTATTCTAGATCAATACTATGTATTATTTGATATTTTTCAGATGTGTCAGGAACTTCATGAGTATGCAAGTCTAAAAATTAGACATTTAAAGTTGAGTTGCAAATGGGGCGGGTATTCTCTATCTTTGTCCATTGGGCTTTTCTGGTTATAATATGTTGCAAACTGCTCATGAATCTATGCAATGTATAGTACAACACTTGGAATATATTTAAAAGTAATGGGGTATAGTACTGTGATACATGTAATTATAACCAGTGATCAAGCCATATTGGTTGAATTCCCTCATATCAATATCCTAGATGCGAGTAGAAATAATCTTGATTTAAGTCATTAAAAATTCAAAATTCAGTCAAATTGATGTCATATTTGGAATGTACATGTAAAATTACATCTAGAAATATGGTTTTGAAAAGAGTTTATCAACTTTGAAATTTTAATTTTCTTTGAAAATGTGACTTCTAGGTCGGGGAGATTCCCCATAGCCCCCATGTTGTAAAATTAAAAAAAGGGAAATATCTTTTCTTGTCTTGGGCAGATAATATTTTCTTTTACTGGACATATTTTAATTTGTATAACTATCAGGTACATAAGGGTAATATGAAAAGTGAACCACTAAAACTGATAAATATTCAAGTTTAAGGGAATTTTGTAATACCCTGCCATGTTATTTCCCCCGAATCAGCCACCAGGTGGCGAAACTGGTAACTACCTACTCGCATCTGAGTAATTATAATGTTGTCAAAGGCTTGGTGATTTCCATATTGAATATAGTCCGGAGTAGGGATACTAGCGGTTACCGTTGGTTATTTGGTTTTCTGTATAAAAAAGCTTTTTCTCCTTTTCTGTCCCGTCGCAGCGCCATCTAGTGTTTGATAAATGAATCAAGGTTTATTCTCGATAGGGTAAGTACTTATCTATCAGGAAACATTTACAAGTTTGGTTAGAAACAGAATTTTTATAGATGGCGGAGTGATTTTTGAGACTATGTAGAGCAGAATAATTTTCTGAAACAGGTAGCTGTACGGTGGTAGCTCTCTCCAGATTCAGTTATCTCAAAAACGGTGTGGTCACCGTATGCTTATTTTGTAACGGCAAGCTAGATAAGACTCCAATGAACACTGGGCACTGTTTCGCTGAGCTAGATCTGTGCCCATGAATATATTATGAAATGAAATGTTATAATGGTCGTCAATGGGATTTGTTACTGCAATCTTGACCCTATTAGCAACAGGGTGGTGACAGTACTAGGGTGGGAAATAGCGTTATTTTTGTAAAAATTACACTTTCTTAGCAATGTGTACCTTGCATCTCTAAGAAAAATCAAATTATCCGAAGAATTAGCAATTTAGATTTTCGCTGATTCAGCATTTTTCATTTTTTACCTAAAAATCACAGGTTTTGACCATTTTTGGCCTGTATTTTGTTACAGGATAGCACAAGTGGGCTGTTAGTGCTGGTTTTAA